TAGGGAGCGATAGAGGATCTATAGGCTACTACCTAGGTAGAACGAATAGAATTATAAAGGTATAAAGGTATATAGCAACGTATAGATCACTCTTAGATAATAGGTCTATCTATAGCTAAAGCTATTCGTTGCTCTACGTAGGGTAGCTATAGAATTCTTCTTATATGCTACGCTAGCGTGTCGTATAGGAAACGCTAGCTTAGTAGAAGAGAGAGAGAAGACTAGGGTAACCTATCCTATTATAATGATGTTATTATAGGCGAGGGCAGTGCTAAGGACCCCTACGAACTAACCTAATAGACTATTAAAGAAGCCTTCCTCGATGTCGACGAGGAGGTGGAATAGCTATATACATAGGAAGCAGTAATGGCCATGGATTATCTAAGGTCGTCGCCTCCTCCATTTGTTTGAATAGGACTCTATGTACATCGAAAAATTAGTCTATACCATGAACCCCAAAAACACTTCCCGATTTTCCCTCTGAGCGGGCGATATCGACGAAATATGGTGAGGAATGGCCTGCATTTGCCCGCAAGAAAAAAGCGGCACGGGGATCGCCGTATAGAGCGGTTTGGCACCAACTCACAAGCCCCGGCAACTCAAAAGACCCTTGAACACGTTATCTCGATCATCTCCTCGAAGTCATGTTCGCGAAGGATGCGAGATTCTTTACGAGTCGAAACAGCCCTTTCTGGATGCAGTAGAGATTGATGCTGCTGTGTGCAGTCAGTCGTGCCCAATTCTGGGTCAAGATGCAGCATGAATAGAATTGCAAATGTCGTTCTGAGAATCATTGCCCCTTATGATTACAGGTAGCTGCCAAGGTTGATCTTCAGAGACGAAGGACCGAAATGTCGATTCGATGTCGACTACATGTCAAAGAGATTCAGTCTGGAGCACGCACTTGCCAATCATGAAGGAATCTCGTTTGTTCTCAAGACATTGTTCGAGAAAGAGTCAGATGAGCACACTCCTGTCAATACAACTTGCAAAGGTCTAGACACTCTCGTTTATTTGTTTTCTGTCTCTATCAACCATCTATCCTTCCGAAGAACTCCTGCATTGTGCGTCGATGCATGGAAACGGACACGGGACCAGGGTGTTCCGCTCAGCAGCAGAGAGCTTGATCGACATAGCGCCTTCCTTTGTGTAAGCCAGGCGCAACGGTGCGTACCAAACTGCTGCAGTGATCGAGTCATCAACTGAAGCCCAACGTTCGTGGTTCAGAAACGCGTACACGATTTACGAGATCGTGCTGAGTTGATCCCGTAGCAATACAAGCCCATCAAAAGCAAGCAACGGTAGATGAGCCATGAAAAATAGAGTTCGATATCCGGATTCCAATTGCATCTTTGCAGGCCGCATCTGCATAACAGGATGCTACTGCCCATGATCCATTGTTTCTTTTCACCGTATTGTGAAGCGAAGCTGAAAAGCCGTTTGCTGGGATCACAGCTTTTATGTAACGCAAGCGTCGACTAGCGAGTTGGTCTCCACCAACTATCCAAGTTGGAAATGTGAGGTTGTAGTTACTTCGGAGTCATAACCGATAGGCTTATTCGATGCCTATCCTGTAACATTAACCGAGGCGCTGATCAGCAAGCCGGCAGATACAATAGCAGATCTCTTGCGCGCGGCAGTCGAGATCTTGCGGATTGACGGAGCTGCGGCTCTGTTGAATTGGAATTGATGGGTTTCGAGGTCGCGACCTGTTTCGTGAGGATTGTCGGTGGATTTGTGTTCAGCTTTTAGGCTTTCAGGTGTTGACTGATCATTCAACCAGGGCATGGCCGAATGAAGCGATTGATCACCAATGACTCTTGTCTGCAAGATGAATAGGCAACATAAAAGCACATCTAATCAGATCCTTACTTTACCGATCCAGATTTAAACTCTCAGGTCAGTACGAGAAGCTCCAACATTGGAGTTTTGGAGACGAGTCAGAGAGTGAAATGTGATCGGACGAGACAGGCAGCCTGAATCAGAAGGCAGCGAATGGCGAAATGCAAAGTTCAAGACAAGTGCTCGGCATGGCTATCCTCATGACAGTAGCAGCACGCCGCTCTGTGATTGTTTAGTGGTCAAAGAGTGGTAGTCCCGCATTCGTCAGAGTACGATATTCATTTAGGGTCCCAGCGATTGGCTTATCAGGGTTCGCGTCGGAGCATTTAAAGATGGTTGAAAGACGGGAGGATGAGGGGAGCGAGGAAGCCATACAGTTGTGGAACTCTAATAGACAACAAACTGCAGTTCATCTCAACCAGATAACGAGATGAGATGGCAAACAGTCTGGAGAGTGGATGGTGTGCATTGAGAGGTTGGGCGTACTGGCAGGTCGGGATGTGGACAGTAAACAGTGGACGACGCGTTGGTGGTGGAAAAGAAGGTTCAAGGCGGGCAGTGGAGACAAATGCTTAGTCCTTGGCTGGACAAAGAGGCGGCGTGTACTTTCAGTGTCGTGCCGGGATAGCATCAGCATTCTGGTGAGTTGGTGAGAAGTGGACACCCCCGCAGCGTCAGGATTGTTGGTGCTTTCCGGGTCGGGCTGCAAGTGCGGTCGTGGTTCTCTCGCTCTCAGGGAAACAAGCTCTTGGTGCTAGGCATAGCTAGGTGTTAGTCGGCAAGCTAACTAAAGGCAAGACCCTCTCCTCTTTCATCGTCTGTCTTTTGTTCGCACCTGCAGCAGGATACCTACTCCATCCGCGTCTCCTTGGATTGCAGATATAGCAGTCGCTGCCGTTTGCCGTTTGGCTTTATCAACCTGCGCCCTCGTCGTTCCTGCCCCCCTTTGAAGCCTTGGCCCCGGCGCCGCTACGTGCGTTAGCTCTACAGCCTCAGAACAATATCCCTGTATCTGTTGCTGTCAAGTTTCAGCAGTCCCTTCTGTTGTTGCACCTGCCCTGCTTGCTGCGCGTCTCCTGCACTCGATTCGATCCGTTCAAGCAACGCAATCTGCGCCGCCCCTTCCCAGACTCTCACGCCTGCGAAGCTGTTCGACGTTGCAATACTTGACCGCCGCCCGCCGAGATTGACCAGCCGCAGATCCTTCGCACTTGCACACGACGCAGCGCTGCTACTTTCTCTCCTCAACTCTAGTCTGCACTCTTCAACCCAGTCAAGATGGCGGGAAAAATGACTTTGTACAAATTGGTGGTGCTCGGAGATGGCGGTGTCGGCAAGACTGCCCTCACGATTCAGGTATGTGCTGACCTGCAGCTTCGAGGAATGCGAGCGACAACGCTGACGACATGGCCAGCTCTGTCTTAACCACTTCGTCGAAACCTACGACCCGACAATTGAGGATTCATACCGCAAACAAGTCCAGATCGACGGCCAATCATGCATGCTCGAGGTGCTGGACACGGCGGGCCAGGAAGAATATGTGTCGCTGAGAGATCAGTGGATCCGAGACGGTGAAGGCTTCGTTCTGGTATACAGCATATCCTCGCGCGCCTCGTTCCAACGCATCAAGAAGTTCTACAGTCAGATCCAACGCGTCAAGGAGTCTGCACAAGCCGGTTCGCCCACCTACCCCGGCTCGCCCAGCCTGTCAGCCCCGTCGTCTTCCGGTCCCGCCCCTGTCATGCTCGTCGGAAACAAGTGCGATCGTGTTACTGAGCGCGAGGTTTCTACTCAAGAAGGCGCCGCCCTCGCTCGCGAATTGGGCTGCGAGTTCGTCGAGGCATCAGCTAAGAACTGCGTCAACGTCGAGAAGGCCTTCTATGATGTCGTCCGCCAATTGCGCCGTCAAAGACACAACTCCTCTGGTGGCAGAAGCGGCGACCGCAAGAAGGACTCTGGCCGCTCGCACACCGGCGACAGTCGTGGCACCGTCAAGAAGTCAAAACGCTCTGGTGGAAAGTGTGTCATCCTTTGAGCGCCGACCTTGTTCATCTTCTGCATTTTCATCACGACGACCATACGACTTTGCAGAGCCTTGTTTTCTATTCGACCATGTCCTTTACCTCTACTCTTCGCCCACGACCACGACCGACTTCTTTCCTTAACCATCGACCCTCTCCCTCCCTCCCTCTCTCTTTCTCCCATGACGGTTGAGAAACGCTTCGGACTTGATCGACTTCTCCGCACCGAGGCCACGGATTTGAGTTCACCAACATCCGAGGCTTGTCAACAAAGTCATAGATAGGAGCAGACTGCCCTCAACCTCCATGGCATCATGCCTGGTACAGCAGAGCTGCCGCCTGTCTCATACTTCCCGCCCTCCTGCATTCTCCGACCTAACCTCAACAATGCAACAGGCCTCCATCTCACTAATGCCATCCTCTTGCATGTCGAGGTCTTCAAGACTTCACGGTTGGTGCTTGCGCAATCGCCAGCTCTTTTTGGACTCGCAAAAGATACTAGTTGCCAGTCTCCTGCAGGCATTGTCATACAAGAAATCGGCCTCGACTGCACTCATCCGGATCTGTGCCTGAGACATCTTCGATAATGTTCTCTGTCCACGAAAGAGGAGGCTCGTTTTGCTTTTCACTTCTATGTATAAACGTTTTAACAAAGGACGTGTTTCTGTGGTACGGGGACGACATAGCCGTCGTCACTGTTATCACCTCTTCCATCTCTTTTCATTCTCATTCTCGAAAGTTCATCGTCATCTTCTTTCCAGCGAGGCGCTTATGGCGTACAGTTTACCAGTTCGGCGTGCCAACAAAAAAAAGACGAAACCAAAAATGAAGCCTGGAAGGGAGGGTTATTTGGGATATGCAGATGGAGAGGTCTTTCAAAAAATCTTAGGTATGATTGGTTTGAATTTTCACATGCCTGTTTTCCTGGAATCTCTGGGAGGTTCCTGTTTCTACATACCAAAAAATTTCATATCTCCAATTATTATTATTTTTATGATAATTCTCTCGAGTGTATACACTCTCCAAGGGTCTCTTCTCCAAATATTTGCTCTCCAAGTGTCTCCTCTCACGTGTCCCCTCTCCAAATGCTTTTCGCTTCAAAATGTCTTTCCGAATTCGACAATTTCATGTGATCCTTGGTCCTCACTGACTCGTTTAACCGAATGGAATCGATTTCAGTCACGCACGATCTTGCCACTTGGGGGTAATGCATGGGCTTGGAAGGAAGCAGAGAGCTCCAAGGGTCCGAGGGTCCTCTCTGAAGGATTCACATTGGCGTGGTGTGGCTGCACTTTCCCTTGGCTTTTCGGGCCCCCTTGACAGGTGTCACACAACCAATCAACAATCATGTCAGCTGTTCTGCAAGTTTTCTGCAAGTCCCACGAGTTTCATAACGGCTCTGAAGTTCTGGACAATGGAATGGTCATCAGTGGGGAGATGTAGGGTAGAGGCTAAGCGGCTTGACAGGTAGGTATGCAATACAGACGGCGCTTATCGTCTTTGCATGCATCTGCGGATAGGAATATCGAGATGGGCGGCCATGCGGACCTTGCGGATGCAAAGGTCCGACACCTCCATCCTCTCTCTCCCCATTCATTCCTTCCAGCTAAACCCTTCAGAGCTGGCTCAAACGGGCAAGCTATGGACTTTTTGTGACCGGATGTTCGCGGGTCTGTTTCCTGGTTTGAGTGGCTTCTTAGGGTTAGATTTACTCGGTGCGAGAATGTCTGGTACATGTGCGAAGTCAGGATGTAGAGGTGCGTATTGCGGACGTTTGGCTATACGGATTCCATGGCGTGCTTGATATGTAAGAGGGGAATGGGAAGGATGAGTACGGGTGAGTCTGCGGTAGGTCGAGATGGGATTTTGAATTCGAAAAGGAAGGTACGGAGGTTGGTTGAAATATGTTGATAGACTGGTTGTTTTGAAAGTGGTCGTAAGGGGTGTTCACTACTAGGTACGACTACCACGGGCATTGTGAATGAATCTTAACATTGATGTGTTCCTGTGTCGATGCAGCTGTATTGTGGAAAGGACTGGTTCTTCTATCAGACAGGTGATGTGCAGAACGGAAGATCTCTCGGTGGCATGCTCAAGAAGGACTATTTTGGATTCACGTTATCTCAAATGTCTGAAAGAGGGAACTGGGAAGGCTCCAGCTCTTCTACCTTTGTGTTCAGAACAGTCCATAGATCTCATCACATTTGAAAGTGTTGGAGAGACTAGAGTGGGCCGTGTAGCTTGTTCATAGTCTACGGCTCTTCATCTTCCTTCATGGAAGTCGAGAAACTGATCAGGAGATATCACTACTGACTAGGCGTGTTCCTATCTCGCAAAGCTCTGGAGGAACCGTTAAGGAGGCATTTATCCATCACACTGTTGTGTCTAGCATAGTCACGTTATAGTGTCAAAGTGCTCTTTGCTTTCTTCGCAGTAGAGACGATTCGAGTATTGCTTCATCAAGCAAATTGTCAGGTCTTTCTTGAGAATAGGTCTTCCAATCCAAGTATACACGAGTTTCGAGGATGTATGTGTGGAAAGCTAAGAACTGTAGTGATGTCAAGGATCAAGCAAAGATATGATGGCATTGTTGAGCAAGCATTTCGACATTGGCATGTGCGAAATCTTGATCGGACAGACATGATACACCCGGAGATGAGACCGGTTTGGGCAACAACCATATCCGGGTTCTAGACCGAAGCCTTTTCAGAAGCACGATTTTATGGAGGTTGCGGGCAGTCGATTGTGATGAGTCGCTGATGGTTGATTAGGACGATAACAGGTTGATGAACGGCAGGGCTCTGGGTTCGAAGAGAAACTATAGTCGCGAAGTCACAACATGCATATTCACAAGATTGGCCTAGATCAACCAAGACCCTGACTAGACATCAGCATGAGACGTTTTCAAATCTGCGTAAGTATTGCACGTGTAGCAGCATGAAAATGGACGAAATGATCAGGCATGACTTTTGTTGCATTTCATGAACGAGACAAGGCTAACATCGAGCGCGGGGGACAGTCGTGAACAGTGTGTATCGTTGCCATCATCCGCAGTGTGTTGCCATGCTCGCGGGTATCGTATGCGGTGAACGTGGTTGAAGGTGAGATGTCTTCGCAAGACCGGCGTGTTGAAGTTTTCGTTCGGTGGTATCGCTCCCAAACTCGACCAGATCCTGCACTTGTTGCTCGTGGACATTTTGAAGAGGTTGGAAGAATTTTTTTGAACTTTTCCTTTTTGTTTCGAGACGTTGGTATTTTGACTCGCTATGTCCCATGATCATGCGTTAAAGACAGCTAAGTCTTGAGTCCCCCGTGTCCATGAAGTAATTTTTGAAAGACTCCCCCAACCAAGAAGTGCACCGCGCATTGTCGAGTCATCTAGAATCCTGCGAAGATATGTTAGTCGTTTGGCCTGCGATGGTACGGACGGGGTCTCATCATACTGAGAGGAGTGAAGAACCACTTGTTCTTGCCGCTCTGGTAACGCTCCTCGAGGGCCTTCTTGATGTTCTTCTTGGCGTCCTCTCTTTGCGAAACCTCCTTGAAGGTGTCGTTGGTGACGGCACCCTTCAGGCCCTCGAGCTCAAGAGTGTAGCGAGTGGGCATGATGTGGTTGTAGTTGACGACCTTGATGAAAGGCTTGACCTTTGAGCGCTTGGTCTGGCGGGCCTTGGACATGCGGCGGGTGACTTGCTGAGGGTAACGCTCAATGCCGGCAACAAGGGCGTGAGGGAAGGGGTGGGACTTGGTGCCCTGGTCGACGGGCTGGATGATGACGACCTAAAGGAAACTGTGTAAGTGGGTTGTTCGGCGATACATGTGCAGGTAGGTTTGCGGTTCGACGGTCGGAGATGTGTTGGTTGTGCGTTTCGTCTCTGAATCCCAAGACCAATCCAAGCTCTTTCTGTGTTTATGCGGCACTCGTTCACTGCCCATGTGTATTCTTCCATCTCGTCGATCGATCCGCTGGAGAGTTTGATGGTCGTACCTTCTTGCCTGCATATCTGCCACGGCTGATGATGGCGACACGGCCGACCTTAAGGACTAAAGCGACACTGTCAGCAGTTGTTCTGCGCAATTGACAATCTCCATATCGCGATCAAGACTGCGGGAATATGCGCTGAACGTACACTTCATGGCTGCTGGGTTGGGACGGTTAGTATGTCTTGTCGGTCAAAATCGTCTACCTTCGAAATCTTGAGAGCGCTGGCTGCTAGGCGAATTTTCGCAGTGCGGGTGGGATGTCGGCAAATCCCGTCTCTGTCTTGATTGGTCGACCTTCACTTCTGCTTGGCGCGGCGGTGAACGGAGCAAAAGCGGCTAGTCTCCGCTTCGGGGTTAACATGTCCGTAGCAACGCAGAGAGGCTGCATGTTGTTGGTTGTAAACAGTCGACCGCCAGCCCAGCGCTTAAACATTATCTACACTTCCGCCCTGCGCTCCATCACACAACGGTTCTCTCCAACCGTCTTCGCCCTCAATCTCCCACCTGTTATTGCAGCTGCATCTTTTTTTTGCGACGACCTGACTCTGTGCTTTTGACGGATTCCTTTGAGATACCCATCCTGCGTACAATGCAATTGTTGTTGTGACGATTGTTACAGCTTTAGCGTGCATTCTTGAGCAATTGCGCTCCCTCGGTCCTATCATCACCACATCACAGCATTTTCACATTCCTCAGCATGCCTAGCTACAGCGATCGCGAGTCCATCGACTCTGGTCGCCAGTCAGTGCCCATGTAAGTCCTATGATGCCGCCTTGACCACCCATGATGCGAATATGGGACTGACTCGCCATCTTTCCAAACTTAGGTGGGACAGCTCAGACCCAGACAGAGCCCCTCCGCCATTGCCTATTCCACCTGGCTCGCCTGGCCTGGCCACACGTTCCAATGCTTCGGCTAACATCCAGGCCACGGCCCAGAGGTTGACTGAACGCGCTCGTGAAAACATGCCCGCCAGCGCCTACACAACTAACCCAGTCCCTGCTACCTCACCTGACAAGTCGCTAATCAAGGGTGCTCACCACCGTCGCCTGCAATCACTCCAGACAGGCAGTGTCAGCGACTTGCGTACCTACATTGATGGTATGCGCAACACTTCCCCCGAGAGACCTACTTCAAGATCCACCGCGACTCCCCAAACCTCACCCAACCGCGGTGCCAGAGGCGACTACTTCTCAAGTCCTCCTCAAGACCACACTCCCACACCCGCCGACAGAAATGCCCTCCGAGATGCCCCCAATCTCCGTCCTGCCTCTCGTCCCAGAGCCATCCTCGGCGAGAACACTCCCCCATCAGCCACCATGCTCGCTCTGCAGACCATGGCCGCTCGCGATCCCGACTCATCTCATCACGACGCTACGGCCTCTTCTTCATCCCGCGAACCCAAGACACTGAACGAGATGATGGCCCAACTTACGAATATTACGAACATTACATCAGGCATGCAAAAGGAGATGGCTCAGCTCAACCGCCGCAGCAAGGACAACGCCGCTGATTTGATCGGCTTGAAGCAGGCTGCCGACAGCCGCGACGAGGAGATTCGCAGAAACCTGCGCGACCTTCTCTCCAACGTGAGCGCTTCTGAGGCTGGCTCCGTCTTTGGTGGTAGATCCTCAGCCTTCGGTCTGGGTCTGCTCGAGAACAAAGGCTTGACCTCACCTACTGCTGGAGCCAGACCTTTCGGCTCACTTCCTCGCTCCAACAGCCACGGCAGTTTCCTCGACCCTGGTAGCCCCAACCCCTTCTCCATGGACGGTGCTGCCAGTGTTGCCATGCTGGAGAAGATCATTCGCGAGATGGTCACCAAGGATGGACAAGACCGTCTTCTATCTACCTTGTCAGAACTGCTCGAAAAGCATAGCCGGGATAACGTTCAGGCTCACGAGACCGCTCAGAAGGTGGCCGATCTCTCTGAGTTTATCAAGGAGAAGTCGGGTAGTCACGCTCTTGTCCGTCACGACTCGGACGCCCAAGACGATGAGCAAAAGTCCAAGGCTATCGATGCCATGAGCGCCGACATCCTGAGACTCCTCCACAAGATCAAGGACAGCACCTCTCAGAGCGGTGGCCTGAGCAATGAGATCAAGGCACTTCTGCAGAACCTCCGTGGCGAAGTTCTAGGCATGGGTCGGGAGCTCGGTCGCCAGCTCGACCAGGCCAACTCTACCAACAGAGTTGCCGAAGATGGCTCGCAGATCAAGACCGATGTTGAGGAGATTGTCAACCAAGGTCTTTCTCAACTCAAGGAGCACATGGAGCACATCATCCAACAAAATTCACAACAACTCATCATGTCCAACCACCAAGACGAGACCAAGAACAAGGACATGTACGACATTGTCAAGAGTGCCATTACAGAGCATAGTTCCGCTCTTGTCCAAGCTCAGCCTCAATCAGAAGGTCTTGATAGGGCAAGCATTCTCGAAGCCGTCAAGGATGCTATCGAAGAGTTCAGACCTGAGATTGAGCTTCAACAATTCGGTCTTGAACGTGATGAGATCCTCTCCGTTTTGAAGGAAGGTCTGCACGACTACCAATCGAACAAGGAGCCCTCTGCAGCCCCCGGTGCCAACATCGAGGAAGTCGAGTCTGCTATGCAACGCGCGCTCCAAGAGTTCAACCCTCCTCGACCTGTTGACGAGATGGCTTCTTTCAAGGAGGACTTGCTTGCTTCCATTCGCCAATCCATTGAGGAGCTCAAGTCTGCTGGTCCAGACGATGCTGCTACTCATGCCATTGTCCTCGGAGCAGTCAAGGAAGGTCTTGAGAATCATGGTCCTCATGCTCCTCGCGAGTTTGAGATTAGCAAGGATGATCTCTTTGACGCTGTCAAGGCCAGTCTTGACGGATCGACCCTTCCGTTCGGCAGCTTCGGTGAGCAAGTATTGAACCAACTGCGCGACCTCATAGAAGAGATGAAGGGCGAGTTCAAACAGTACTCTGCTGCCAACGGTCATGACACTGAGCAAGTTCTCGACGCTCTTAAGGATGGTCTCGAGTCATTGCGCCATGAAGTGGAGTCGTATGTTGACCGCGCTCAGGATGTCACAGGCAAGGACGAGATTGTCGATGTTGTCAGAAATGGTCTCGAACAGCTTCGTGGTGATGTCCAAGGCTACTGCGCCGAAGGTCCTGCCAATGGTCGTAACGAGATGATCGATTACATCAAGGCTGAGTTCGAACATCTTCACGAGGCTGTCAGCGGTCTCAACTCTCGTGAAGGTGAGGAAGGTCGTCCTTCAAGCACTTCCGAGATCCTTGTAGCTCTTGAAGCTGGATTCCTGGAACTCAAGAACCAGACTTCTAGCCGCGGCCTACTTGATGAGACGAACGAGGAAGTTTTGGAAGCCATGAAGGCTGAATTTGAAGCTCTTCGTGATGCCGTCATCGCTGGTTCCAACACTCACAAGGCCGAAGTCATCGAATCTATCCAAGAGAGTCTGGACGCTCTACACGACAAGGTCGGCACCCGTGAAGACGGTTCGTCTGACAACGACCTCCTGCTGTCTATGAAGGATGAGCTAGCTCACCTGCGCGAGACACTTGCTGCCACTCTCCTAAAGTCCGGTGCTGCCGCTGAGAGAGACGAGATGATTGAGACAATTCGTGAGGCTGTCGACACCATCCGCATGCAGATCAGCTCTGAGCAAGGCGAGGCCAATGCTGAGACGCTGGCCGCTCTCAAGGAGCAACTGGAGAACTTCCGCGAATCCACCACCAAGGGCCTTGTTCTCAGCAACGGCGACAACGATGAAGAGACACCACATGCACCTCTCGATGAGATAAGAACTCGTCTCGATGAGATTGCCGCTGCCAACTCTGGCTCGAGTGTCAACACAGCTCTTTTGGAGGCCATTCAAGGCGAGTTCCAGCAGATCCGTCACTCTCTGGGCTCTAGTGGTTCTCGCGCCGATACCGAAGAGGTTCTTGATGCTGTCAGACTTGGTCTAGATGATCTTCAGTCCTCTCTCGAGAAGAAGATCGACAACCCTGAGGTGCACAGAAATCTCAACAACGAGCTCATGGACGTTCTCAACGAAGGTCTCGACAACATGCGTTCCGACGTCTCTAAGATTATGGACAAGCCTGTCGATATGACTGTCAACTACGAGATTCTTGAGACACTCAAGGAGGGTGTCGCTAGCCTCCGTGCTGACATGGAGAAGCTCACAGGCGGTGACCGTCCTTCCACAGCTCTGGGTAGTGAGCTCATTCTCGCCGACGCACCTGGTGAAGAAGGTTCAAGAGAGCTGAGCGAAGATGACAAGGCTGCTCCTATCAGTCTCAAGGACAGAATGGAAGCTCTGTTCGCTCAACTCCACATCAAGGTTGAAGGCTTGGCTGCCAGCATTGGTGATATGCCCTCTGCATCATCAGCTCCTGCCGAAGGTACTGCCTTGAAGGAGGATCTCTTTGGCATGGAAGAGACTCTCCAACACATCCAAGACACTCTCGCCGTGATGGCTGAGAAGGAGCAAGCAGAAGTCGACAACGCTGTCACCAAGGAAGACACCGATGCCATTGAGACTTTGCTGCGCAACACCAAGGCACAGCTCGAGGAGCTTCCTGCCACTACCGCCAGCAGAGAACAGTTAGATGATGTCGAAGCCGCTGTTCGTAGCGCCAAGGAGGTCATTGATGGTCTTGCTACCAAGGAGGATGTTGCCGTTGTCGAAGTTCTCCTCAAGGACCTCGCCACTGCCTTCGAGGACTCCAAGTCCAAGGCACCTGAGGAAGACGAAGAAGAGTCAGCTTCTCACTTGGACAAGGCAGACTTGGATGCACTCGGCATGCTCTGCACTGAGATCAAGGAGAAGATCTCGGAACTCAACCTACCTGATCCCGAGGCACTTCCTTCCAAGGCTGATGTTGAGCAAATCACTGGTCTCATTAATGACTTCCGCGAGAGTCATGACAAGGTCAGAGAAGGTTACGAGAACGACATTGCCATTACTGCCAAGGCTTTCGACGACCGCAGAAAGGAGGCTGAAGAGATGGCTGAGGCTATCTCTGGTGTCAAGACTTTCTTGGAGGAAGTCAAGGCTGACATTCTTGCCAAGGTCGAGGAAGGTACACCCGGCATGACCGACATCGAGGAGGCCATCAAGTCGATCGATGACAAGGTGGCCGGTGACGAAGGCATCGCAGCTGACATCAAGGAACTCTTGGAGACTGTCAAGAACGAGTTTGAACGTTCGCACGAATCTCTGGGTGGCATCAAGATCGACCATGAGCAGAACAGCTCGACCTTGCTCGAGAAGCACGCCGAGCACAAGGATGCTATTGTCGCCGCTGTCACTGAGAAGGTTGACTCTTGCTTCGATGGTCTTATGAGCAAGTATGACGACGCTCAAGCCGCTGCCCATGAGAAGGCCAAGTCTATGGAGGACCAAGTCGAGCAACAGAAGGAGATGCTGACCAGCACCAAGGAGATGACAGATGAGCTGAAGCTTTCCATCGACACTCTGGGCACTTCCCTCACTGCATTCATCCCTTCATTCAACGAGGCTACCGAAAAGATCTCCGAAGACTCCAAGACTGTCTTTGAGAAGGTTGAAGGAGCCATGCTCAAGATGGATGAGCATAACGATGGCCTGAAGACCGAGCACCAGACCACTCGTGACGAAGTCGTCAAGGTTGCCGAAGCTATTACTCTCCTCCAAGGAGACTTTAGCGAGTACAACCCTCAATTCTCCATGTCGCTCAAGGAGCTTCATGCTCTCATCAGCGCTCACTACGAGCACTCGCAACAGCTTGCTACCACTGCTGAGGAGCAGGCCAAGACTGTGCACGAGACCATCCGTGCCGCCACCGAGGAGTCCAAGACTCACGTTGAGACTCTCTTCGCTGACAACCTGAAGAACCACCTCTCTGAGAACCTCAGTGCCCAGACAGAGGAACTTAAGGGAGCCCTCCCTGCCCTGCTGCCGGCACCTGTTGAGCCTGTCGAGAAGTATGACGACACCGCTGTTCACGAGAAGCTTGACAAGCTCGTCAGCGATACTGCAGTTCATGAGAAGCTCGACACTCTTGTCAACCTTGCAGGCGAAGCCGGTGCAGCCACAGCTCAGATGGAACGTCTTGATGAGATTCACGCTCAAGTCAAGGCTACCGCTGCCGAGGTCTCCGCATTCGTCGCCATCCAACAGAAGCAGATCACCGAAGGCCAAGAGAGCAAGGAGCTCGAGGCACAGGAAGTTGCTCTGCTTCTCGAGCGCCGCCAGGTTCAGAAGGACAACATCGAGTCCGAAATCTCTTCCCTCAACGAGGAGAAGGAGAGCCTTCAGGCCATTGTCGAGGCTCTTCGTGCTGAGAAGGACGCTTTGGCTGCGCAGAAGGCACGTCTCAATGGCGATGTCGCTTCTCTTCACACTGCCTTGGAGATCAGACGTGAGGAGTTGCACAACATGGACGAGAAGGCTGACGCACTGGAACGTCGCATTCTTGAGGGCTTGATCGATCACTCTCGTGCCATGCTTCTCACGCAGAAGACACCCAAGACCTCTCCTAAGAAGAAGCCCATGCGCGATCTCCGTCTGCCCAGTGATGCTTCAACTACACACCTTCCGGCTCCCACTACTCCCAGTCTTCTCCAGAGTCATGCTTTGGCTATGAAGACTCGTGGTATGCCCAAGAAGACTGGCACTACCCCCAACACTGGTGAACGTCGCATCATGTCTCTTAGTCAGATCAGTGGTAACCTCCCGACTGGCGGCGCCGCTACATATTCTGCCGCAGCACCCAGCTTGGTCTCTGCACAAGGCTCGATCAACCGCAGTCAGTCTCTCAAGCATAACAAGCTTCGCAAGATCTCTTGGGGTACCGCTCGTGCTGCAGCCGACAAGGAGAACGACATTGAAGAGGTGACTGAGATTGAGAGCAACTATGGTGGTTCTCGACCTGTGAGCAGAGACTCCGAATACCGTCCTCAGAGCCGTGACTACGACTCTCGTCCCGTTAGCCGCGACAGTCTCGACTCTTCATACTACAACAGCAGCAGACGCAGTGTTAGCTACGCTGGTAGCCAGAGTACCTGGACCGAGTCCAACTCTGGCATGACTGATGATGGTCGCCGTACCAGCTTGGGCACGCTCGGCACCTACGACACTGGTAGTTACATGACTGGCAGTGATCTCGACCGTCGTACCAGCTTCGGCAGCACCATCCGCAGCACAATGGACCACATCCACGAAGAAGACGATGATAGCGACTTTGAAAGCGAGCGTCACGTCGAGCCTGAAACTCCTGCCATGCCTGTTGAGGCTGAGGCCGCTGTTGCTGGCAAGGATGTCGTCCCCTATGCTCCTCCCAGCGACTCTGGTATCGGCTCCGACCTTCCCACCGCCGCTCTCCAAGGCAATGGTGACTACTTCGCCGGCGCTATGATCCCTGCCACTGTGAACGAAGACCAGGCTGCTTGATTTGTTCCAGCCAGCAAAACTACTGCATAATGTGCATTTTTCCCTTTTCTTTTCTTTGGTTTCTCTTACTCTTTATTTTCTGAAGGCAAAGCATGCGTTTTTAATGAATGGGATTGACGAGGTGGATAAAAATGGGCGCATTGGTTGTTTCTTTGTTTTCTTTTCTTTGTTCTGCTTCTGAAGGATACCTGGCCCTCCGAGGCATAAGTTTTGTTGTTTTCTTGGGACCGCAGACCAGGTGTTTTCATGTTACGATTAGACGATTGTTGATTATGCGAATTCTACTTATTTTCTTGTTAACTTGACTGTGTTTTGTTGCCTTCGTGACTACTTCGTGGTATGCCAAGATCGTGATGGTAATGGGGGTGGGGAAAGTGACAACTGTGATGATCGTGATGAAGTGGAAAGAGCGACCATCGATTCTTGTGGTTGGCTCTTTCCTCGATTGAGTGAGACGATTTGCAGACATTTGAATTATTCCACGTTGCCTCTCTTTCATCTTCCTGTTCGTCCGTCTGCATCTTCCTCACCACCGTCCACTTGAGCCTCTTCGCTCCCTCCATCCAATGCGTTGCTTCACCACTTTCCCCAATTCGAAGCTGTTTTTCAGACAATTCGATATCACTCTTCAACCACCAGTTCAATCGCCTCCGACTCTTCTCACAAGGAGCTAGAATTACAAAACAACTGCTCAACACACTCGTATATTCGACATCATCGCTGGCGGTCACGATATCCTCGATTAAGATGTTTTCAAGCTTGTCATGGGTATCACCCTGTTCCCAACCACCCTCTTTCTCCGATCTCGACTTCCTCCCAAGCAGACGAAGATGTCTGGAGAGCTGAGAAATAGCGATTGAGAAACGGACGATCGACCATCTCTTCTCCTCTTATCTGGGCTTACATTGAAGACATGTATCAACAAGGCTGAAGGTGAGTGCATGCCAAAGGAGACAGGCGAACGACCGGTCTCCTTTCTCTGGTTTCGTAAGTCAAGCACCCTCACAATTCAGGTCACCGATGGTTGGAAAGAGTGCAAAAGTGTCAGAAGATTCATCTTTTTCATTAAAAGGCTCGAGAAACATTCGCTTTCGCTTCCGCTTCTTCCATGCTTGGCCCCATCTTTCTATATGAGTACACTCCGCCTTCCCTTTCATTGCCGTAACTCCGATTGCCAAAAATGCAGCATCAGAGATTGCTATCTTACTCCAGAAGACTGGCCTGGTTGGTGTAGAGCACATCGACAACATTACTCAGCTTGTCGATTGTGTTGAGGGCGGCATCGTATTGAGCATCACGCTCGGGCTCGTCAAAGATTTCGAGGCATCCCTGACCTTGATCGAGAACACCAATGATGACACGGTCCAAGATCATCTGACTCAACTTGTGCTCGACTTGGTGGACATCCAAACCGACCATCTTGGCGATGTGTGCAATCTCAACACGGCTGAAAGGCTCGATAACCTTGATCAAGTTCTGCTCGAGCATGTTGTCGTAAAGACGGCGGAGGTGAGTGGCGATGAAGCGGTCGGAAGCGAGTTCATGACGGTAATCGGCGAGGGCGGTTTCGTACTCTTCGAGCGAACGGTCGGTGTGAGCTTTGGCGACGTGCTTCATGGCGTCCAGACCCTTGCCACCATACTTGAGAGCGTGCTTGGATTGCATAAGGTTGTTGACGTCGTCACCAGCGTTGAGCATGATCTTGCAGAGAAGCATGTACATGAGACCAGCGGTTGCCTTCTCAGTCTCGTCCTGAGCGTGGTAGCCGTCAAGGGCTTCGATGAAGTATGAATAGGCGGTGTTGAAGTCGCCATCTTCAGCGTGCAGCATACCACTCTGCATGTCGAGGTTGGCTTGCAACAATGGCGGGCAATAAACAGAGGCGGCGGATGTGCGGGCAGATGTGAGGGCGGCGCGACCCTTGGGAACGTTTCCGAGAGCGTGGTAGACTCTTGATTCAAGGAGTTGGACTTCGACCAAAACCAGCTTGTCGTCAAGACGCTTCAACTCCTTGAGCAGACGGTTGATGAGGGTAAGGGACTCGTAATAGCTCTGCTTTTGCATGTACAACGACACCAGCCGTGTCTCGAGGTTCTGGCGGAGGAAACCACGACGTTCTTGGACGGCCCAGTCGATACATGACTTTGTGACGGTGATCTGTGTTTCGAGCGAATCGGGGATGGGAATGAAGAGGTCGAGCAGTTGGCGCACTGAAACACGAGTGAGTTAGATTGTGAGATGAGAAGAGATGAACAATCGGAAGATACACACCCAACTTTGCGGTCTTTGCCTTTGCCAGTGATGAGAGAACGCCCTTGATCTGCTGGACGAGCTCGGCCAGGTCATTCGTGCGGCGTTGGTCGCGGTACAGCTCACCAAGACCCATCAAGGCGTTCTCATAGTCGCGAGCGGCGGCATCGGACTTGCCGGGGCCTTGTTCCAGGACACTCTTGAAAGTCTGTTCGGCCTTTTGCGGTTGGTCCTTTGCCTGCTTCTTTGCTTCGGCGATGCGTGCGGCGTTGTCTTGTTGCGCCATGACCGTGTGAGGCGAGGGCGTGTTTACTGTGTGGATGAGAGGAGGATGGGAGCAATCGCTATAGATGGAGCGATATGCGAGACGAGAGTAAAAGACGGCGGATGGGAGATGCGGCGATGAAGGTGGGTGTTTGGTTGATTGAGATGGCTCAGGCGTGGATAGCTCCTACTCAGCTACGGAACATCGATGCCATCACTGCTTCATGGATGCCAAGCCTGCGGAGTTTCGCTCTTGTCCTCCGAATCATCACCAATCGTTTCACCAATTTCTTGTTAAACTTATTTCTTTGGTTTGATGCTGTTTCTTTGATTACTTGTTCTGTATTTCTATCTGGTAGGTCTTGCTTTTCCGAGTTGTCTATCGCATTTCCTTTTTCCTGAACATGCTTTCCTTTCTCAGAATTACCATTTCCAGAACATGTCCCACCAAGAGCAACCAGCAGGACATAGATCAGAAGATAAGTCGATTCGCAAAGCGCCTGCACAGTATGATTACTCAACAGTCATGAGTCTTGCCCAACCGCCTTTGTGGATTGCGACAGCCGAGGAGAGCATTACCAGGTTCGAGAAGATGGAATGATTCCATGATCAACAATCTTCTCTCTTTCTTCCTTGAGGCAGACCGCGCAAGGTCGCTGGCGGTTACGAGCCTTGACAATGGGTATACTGGCTCTTTTGAAGTCCAGCTGACTGCCGACCAAAGCTCCGTAGCTTATGAAGGATGTAGCTTCCTGTTGCATCATGCTTGTTGTATTCCATCATGTTCATGCAGCAGGAAGTGCCGTCGACGGAGCGGTCACAGGAGCCGCCGCAGCAGAGACCCTCGCCTTCTCATCCTCCTCTTTCTGCGCTTGCATGTTTAACCAACTCAGATAAGTCTGCCATCCAATCGCAATGACGCCAGCGAAGACACTCCTGTATTGCGGTGCCACGAAGGTGAAGCTGAATGCCGTGACCGCCGGCCACAGTTTCCAGCTATTCCTCCAACTCGTCGGCACAGTATCTATAACTCTTTGCTTTGTTTGTGCCAGCGTCTGCCCCGATAGCAGACTCTGCATGCCGAAGAAGTATGTGTTGAAGCATGGTGTGAAGAATGTCTGGTTGATGACGATCTTGGTCGCGATTGACGCTACATGCGACTTGTAATTGAAGTGATTGCCCAAGAACATGAACCACTTGTAATTGGGTATAGACGATATACCGCCGATGACGAGCGCTCGTAGTCCTCGAGAGGGTTCGTAAGGTTCTGTACTGGAGACCTTTTGTGCAGAGAGGTCGCCCAAGAAGTAGATGATCAACGTCGTTGATAGTTGTGTTATATATGGTGAGCGATGTTGCATGCGACCATATGCCCTGAATGGCTCTTTCAATGGTTCAATCCATCCCATTCCTGGTCCTGGAATCGTTGTTGGTGGAGTCACATCTTTGGCTTTGTCTTCGGGCTTTGTGGAGTTCAGTCGTCGCTGGCCGTTCAATCGTAGTCGTAATAGCAGTCTGTTGCCTCGTCCAGCAAGGGTATAGGTATTCATATCGGTGGCTTCTTTCGTGAAGACATCGTGTTCTCTTGACAAGAGAGGGAGAACAACATTGTTGGGCGATCTCGGCTCTCGGCTCGGAGTTGAAAGGTTTCGAGAACGCGCCGGAGCTGACGTGCTTGCGCCCGAGATCCTGTCATTGATAAGAGTATGGCATCAACTTACTGTTATGATAAAGCGGTATAGACATTGTTGAAAGTCACAAAGCACGCTGTTCGCTCAATCTGTCGGAAGTAGTAGTAGGCTGGTTTGAGAACATGTTGCAGGACCGCTTACATCAGACCATCGCCTGTTGCGTGACATACCGTGCTTCAGGCCTGACGTGTCCCCGGCACGCAGATACGCGCTCCGTACCAGCATCTCGTGTACAGATGTCTGCCGATTTTAGCTGTAGAGATACACAATGTTTACTGAACCAGAGGCATGTCCACTGAGAGCGTACGGTGTTGCTCATCTCTTTGTACGGTCGTATCGACAGCAAAAGCATCGTGCATTCATGCGGTAGTATCATCCTTAGATTCGGTCACGAGAAAGATAACAGTAAACAGTGTAAGCTGGTGATGAGAGAATACAGTGTAAGATACGAAAGGAGCGATGGTCAGAAGGGCTTCGTAGAGAGAGATATCAATCAAGAAGATCAAAAACATGTCACAAGATATGAAAAGAGTGGAAAGAAGTAGTTGAAGTTGAATCAAAAGTGCCCGGGCCCGGCCTTTTGTGTGTGTGCATTTCATTATGTTACAATCAATGCTCTCTTGAATCTGTGCACGCTTTCGTGCACCCCATGATAGTAAGAACCCCGAATCCCATGTCATTCCCTTGCTCGAAAAATTGCAAAACTCAGTAGAAGAAAGTCAGAAGAAAACCAACGCCAACCATCCCATCAATGTCCCTCAGACCATCCATCCTCAAGCTTCTCGTTGGTGGTATATGATGCTGATGATGAGAGAGTACATCAAGTTGTCATGATGATGGTGTTAAGAGCTTAAGAGCGCTCGCCGCGGAGACGGCGGGCGAGCTGGATGTCCTTGCTCTGGATGGTGACACGCTTGGCGTGGATGGCGCAGAGGTTGGTGTCCTCGAAGAGAGAGACGAGGTAGGCCTCAACGGACTCCTGGAGAGCGCCGATGGCCGAAGACTGGAAGCGGAGGTCCGACTTGAAGTCCTGGGCGATCTCACGAACCAGACGCTGGAAGGGGAGCTTGCGGATGAGGAGCTCGGTCGACTTCTGGTAGCGACGGATCTCACGGAGAGCGACGGTACCGGGCTTGTAGCGGTGAGGCTTCTTGACACCTCCGGTAGAAGGTGCTGACTTGCGAGCGGCCTTGGAGGCGAGCTGCTTACGGGGAGCCTTGCCACCAGTGGACTTGCCTGTGAATGAATGTAAGCGACTGATGATGGAAGAAGGTGGAGTGAAGTGATGATTGTTGATGCCAGGTGCGGTGGCGCCAAAGCCAGAGACGCGTCGAAAACGCGCCCGGCAGTGACGACGCGCAGAAGGCGGCGGCGATGATGAGGAAGAGTGATAAGCAAGTGATTACTTACGGGCAGTTTGCTTGGTGCGAGCCATTGTAGATGACTTTGTGTGTTGTTGAGAAGATGTTGTTGTTGATAGAAGAGATGGAAGTGGTTGTTGGATGATGGAGAGAAAGGTGTAAGAGTGAGTGGGGGAAGGTGCTTTATAGGCGTTGGTGGGCGTCGAGTGCGGGTTGGAAAATCAAAGCCAGATCATTCACTGTTGCCTCACTTCATGGGGCTGCGTTGGACCGCTCTGATTCTGGCACTTCAAACTGCCTTTCTTTGCTTGTGCTTTTGGCTGACGAGACGCCGAGTTACGACTGGATTCGTGGGGACGTGCGTCGCTCCTTCCTCAGATCCCGGTCTCTCATTGGTTATCCAAGCGTGATCTTTTAGGAAGGAACGAATTCGACTTAGCGCCATTTTGATCCGCTAGCAATCGCATCACAACTCGCAGTGATTCCCTTTCACACGCGTCAGCCATAAACACCTCTTCCCTCCGCACGAATTATATTTCCATCCACACTCCCATCTTCTTCACCCAGCGACATCTCCACACTCAAGACTTCGTGTCTATACTACAACTCTTCAACCTTCTTTCAAAACAACTTCTATCACAATGTCTGGCCGTACGTTCTTACCCCGCCTCTTCGGCATCCATCTACCATCACCTTCATTCAACTAACATACCAATAGGTGGCAAGGGTGGCAAGGGTCTCGGAAAGGGTGGTGCCAAGCGTCACCGCAAGATTTTGCGTGACAACATCCAGGGTATCACAAAGCCCGCTATCCGCCGTCTCGCTCGTCGTGGTGGTGTCAAGCGTATTTCTGCCATGATCTACGAGGAGACCCGCGGTGTTCTCAAGACCTTCCTCGAGGGTGTTATCCGCGACGCCGTCACCTACACTGAGCACGCCAAGCGCAAGACTGTTACTTCGCTCGACGTTGTCTACGCTCTTAAGCGCCAAGGACGTGAGTTATCTTGCTATCCATCATCCTCTCATCCAGTCATTGACATCTCTTCTCAGGTACCCTGTACGGTTTCGGTGGTTAAGCGTTTTTCTTTCTTCATCATGGGTTTTACGACTGCTCAACTGGCCGCAACATTCATCCAGCGGGCCGGGATCGTTATCAATCATCATCAATGGGTTTTCGGGATGGGAAGTGTGTTGAATCACTGTGCTGCTTTGGGATCAATGCCGATGTACAATCATACAGGCAGGGGAGTTTATGGGAAATGCAATGCAATGATACCAGTTTAATCCTCAAACATATTTGCTCCAACTTTCTTTGTCTCTTCTCTGTTGTGATCATCTTTGAACGCGTCTCGCGTCTTGTCTTTCGCGATCTGACCTCTGTGACGTAGCTCTCCTCGTTCTGTCTTTGCAGTCTCCATACATCATTACGGCCTCTCGTATGTGCTTTGAAGTCAAAGACCTGCTCTCTGACTCTTCCAGCATGTGTCGAGTTCTTCTGTGAGTCACTTGAGTCGCCTTCGTGGTATCCTTCCTCCGCCGCGGTCATTCTTCTTCCGCATACATGAAAGCCTCCGCTACTCCGATCTTCTCCGCTCTACTGTCTTGAGTTTTGTACCTTCTTAAGCATCCAGATATCCTTTACCGTATATACATACTCTACACACTCTACGTCTTCTTATTCAGACATGGAAAACGCTCGTGCTCTCCTTTTCGATGTATTCGGCACCTGTGTCGACTGGAGGACTACAGTCACCAACGCCTTGATTCAACAATGCCGAGTGGCCTTGATGAGAAGATCGGCAATCATCACCAACGATGTCCGAGTCAAAGCCAGTGCAATGAGCGATGAAGACTGGGGTGCTTTTGCTCAGGAGTGGAGAAACAGCTATTACAAGTTCACCCGATCTCTGGCAGCCGATGCATCACTCAGCTGGAAGACCGTTGACGACCATCATCTCGAATCTCTACAGGAGCTGTTATTCAATCATGGTCTGGGACGTGAAGACGGCGACTTCGGAGGTCTTTGGAATCATCTTGAAGTCAAGGAGATGAGTCTCATCTGGCATAAGCTCGACCCCTGGCCCGATACCGTTGCTGGTCTTGAGGCTTTGAACACAAAGTACGAGACTTGCACCCTTTCCAACGGCAATATCGCTCTCCTCACGGACATGAAGGAGCATGGTGGTATGCCTTTCAAGCACATCTATTCTTCTGAATTGTTCAACTCTTACAAGCCCAATCCTGCCATCTACCTTGGGGCTGCAAAGAGATTGGGTCTTGAGCCGAGTCAGTGCGTCATGGTCGCGGCACATCTGGGTGATCTAGAGGCTGCGAAGAACTGTGGATACCACACTGTCTATGTTGAGCGATCTCAAGAGGAACAAAATGAAAATGAAGAAGAAGCCAGGAGGAAGGGTTTTGTAGATATTTGGGTTGGTATTGATGAGAAAGGTTTTGTGAGTGCTGCAAAGAAGCTGGGCATCAGTGTGTAGCGGCTAAGTACAGCTTGTCCGGGGGGCCACCCTGATCAGCCATGTAATACCAACAGTCCAGTCCTCTACTCGATATATTCTGTGCTATACCATCTATTCCGATACTGTTTTGTCATACTATGGCTGAGTGTATACCCTCTATACTTGTGTGTGTATTTCCTGTCGTTGCTACATTGTTATGTCTTGAAGACTCTTGCACAATTATTCTCATACATATTTAGTAAACATATTTATGGAAGCAGGATTGAAAATAAGTTTTCGAACATAGCTCAGTACTCCTAGAAGCGAATGATCTAAGACTGATACACCCATATATCTACATGATAATTGATACTTTCCTATGATATTAACCAGAAATAGTGATGGTGTGGGCACATGATGGAGCATTCGAATTGGAAAGTTGTCAAAATCATTGCTTGGGGTATAACCCTGTCCAGAGCTTATTCCCATCAAGCAAGACCTGTCACCCTGTCTTGAGAAAGGATCTGCAGACGGAAAGCAAACCGCCAAGCCACATCCGTCCGTACCGCCTCGCACCGGCCATACCCTTTCATCTCCCAGCCATTCAGTTTCGTGCCCTCTCGCTCACCATGAGAGAAACTGTACTTGGCAACGCGCCAAACCCAGGACAGTGGGCCGCAACTCAAGCCACCAAAGGGAGCAGAGTTTACTGGATCAGAAGATGATCACGCATAGAAAGACACGGACGGGTTGCGTCCAGTGCAAGAAACGCAGGATCAAGGCAAGTAAGACGGACGGCCCATGTCTTGCTCATGACAAGATTTTCATTGTGGTTGATTTGGTTCGATATTGATCCGCGTTCTGACTCGTCTTGCAGTGCGACGAAACCAAACCAATATGTGAGAAATGCAGGAGGACATCACGAGAATGCAGTTTCCAGAATCCTCAGCCAGATACGAGTATACGTTCTGGAGAGAGTTTTACTTTGAAGGAAATGGAACTACTGCACCATTTCGTCACCCACACAGCAAAGACACTGGCGGACCAGACTGAGCATCAACACATCTGGCAAACAACAGTCGTCCAGATTGCCTTCAAGCACAAGTTTTTGATGCATGGAATCCTTGCGGTAGCTGGTCTTCACGTGTCGGTTACGCGTCAATCTGAAGAAGACGACCTCTCGATATTGGCCGCCAATCATCAGGATCTAGGCTTGCAAGGCTTCAGGTCAGCCCTGGAAAACTTCAACTCGGAGAATTGTCAGGCTGTATTTGCTTTCTCAATACTGGTCGTGTGCTACATCATTGCATCATCCGGCACGCGCATCAACCCGAATTTGACCACCGAAAGCTTCTTCAATGAGGTTCTGTTGGTCGCCGTTGTGGACTGGATCCGCTTATTCAGAGGCTCTGATCAAATTGCTCGTCGTGGCAGAATATGGCTGGAACAAGGTCCTCTTGCACCGCTACTCGTAGACGGACCATTTTGCCAGATAATAAAGCCTGTTGACGAAGAGGCCATCAAAGAAGACGAATATCTGGCCAACCTACAACAGCTATGGCACCCTGGCAGCCCTTCGTCCATTCAGGGCATTGGTGGCGAGGAGGCAGTTATATACGACGAAGCCCTACACTATCTACGAGAAGCTTACGGCCGTATGAGCAGAGCCACAGCACCAGCCAACAACTGCACATGGTGCTATAAGAAATCAGCAGATACCGACGAACCTCACACATGCATTTCGCCGATAATCGCTGGCTTGTATTGGTTTATGCAAGTTCCGACCGAATTCTTCGAGATGCTAGAGCAACACAAGACGGTCGCTCTGATCCTCTTACTACACCAAGCAGTTCTCATCAAACGGATAGGAAACCTTTGGTGGAACAGGACACCTGCAGTCAAAGTCGCGAGTTCTGTGTCTTCGACAATGTCTTCAGAATATCATGCTTGGCTCGAATGGCCTCTTCAACAGATTGGTTACACGCCTCCTCAAAGCTGAGAGATCTTGAACTCCGACACGAAACGTCCACCCACCCAGGAAAGCAAGACACAACACTCCACTCCTCCGATCCACTCACGCGCCGCTCGTGAGTATGCTCCTCAAGATACCGTGTCTGGTTTCAACTGCAGAAGCAACGAATAACGTCAAACATGACCAGAGACTAGACACGACTATACGAAGCTCAAGCTGACGGAGGTCCATTCCGAGTCGAACGCTTTATAGCAGAAAAATGTGCTTCTGGGAAGAGGTGGTTGTCATTAACTTGGCGACCTCCCATGAGCCGAAGTTCATCGCTTCGAACCTTCCGCTGCAGCGACACGCAGTGAGCCACCTACCGATGCATCTTTGGGTCAATGTGTAACATTCAAGGAGCGAGAGCGACTATTCGGGCCTCTCTTCCTGGGCTTAGCTCAAAGACCATTGTGCATTTTGGCAAGTTGTGACAAACTTCAACACGCGTGGAAGGAAGATTCGACATACGAGTCATGAAGCCGAACCCCGCAAACGTGGGGGTGTGGGGTAATGAAGTAGTGGAGTTTTGGTCAAGAAGACGAGGTCATGTTGTGTCTATCCCGCTGACCCGGATAACCTTGTATGTAGGCGCGGCTATTCGATCTGATACTTGTACCTTGCTGTAGGAGGTTGACCGATCTTCAAGTTCCAACTTCGTATCTTTACAAATCTCCAACATCTCACCTAAAACCGCCATGGCGAACGCACATCCACAAGACGCAGCGTATGCAGCTGCACTCGATTCGCCAGAGACATTCTGGGCTCATGAGGCCAAGCACCTGAGCTGGGCTGTTCCTCCGAAAACCATCATCGAAAATACTACAAAGACATTGCAGTCTGGCACCGAGCATCAACACTGGAAATGGTTTCCAGACGGCGAGATCTCGACCTCATACAACTGCGTTGATCGACACGTCGAAGCTGGAAATGGCGACCGCACGGCAATCATCTGGGACTCGCCCGTCACCAACACACAAGAGAAGATCAGCTATGCACAATTAGCAGAAGAAGTCGCTACACTAGCAGGTGTATTGCGTGAAGAGGGGGTCAAGAAGGGAGATGTGGTGTTGATATACATGCCCATGATACCAGCAGCATTGGTCGGAGTCCTTGCAACCTTACGACTTGGAGCAATTCATGCTGTTGTGTTTGGTGGCTTCTCTGCCCCAAGTTTAGCACAGCGCATTGATGCTTCCAAGCCTAAGGTGATCTTGACTGCCAGTTGTGGTATCGAAGGCGCAAAAGGTCCATTACCATACCAACCTCTGGTCAGAGGTGCAATCGAGCAATCCAAACACAAGCCGAGCAAGACCATTGTATGGCAACGCGAACAGAGTCGCTGGGACGATGTCAAGAAAGAGAATGGAGAACGAAACTGGCAACGATTGGTCAAAAGTGCCAGAAACCGTGGCTTGAAGGCAGAAAATGTTCCAATCAAGAGCAACGAGCCGATTTACATCATCTACACCTCCGGAACTACTGGTGCACCAAAGGGTGTTTTGCGTGAAGCCGGAGGTCATGCTGTCGGGTTGAATTTCTGTATGCGCCATCTCTTCGGTATCAAGGCCGGCGATGTCATGTTCTGTGCATCAGATATTGGATGGGTCGTAGGACATTCGTTCATCATATTCGCCCCATTGTTAGCTGGAGCCACAACGGTCCTGTTCGAGGGCAAGCCTATTGGTACACCAAACGCTGGCACTTTCTGGAGATGCGTCGAACAGCACAAAGTCAACGTCATGTTTACTGCACCTACAGCTTTACGAGCCATTCGTAGAGAGGATGGAAAGCACAAATTTTTCATTGAGAGAGGAGAAAAGGACGGTCTCAGGTCGCTGAGGGCTCTCTTCTTGGCGGGAGAGCGAAGTGAACCGGCTGTTGTCAACGATTATACGCAGCTCTTGCAGAAATACGGCGCTCCCGGTGCTGCTGTAGTGGATAACTGGTGGTCTTCAGAAAGTGGAAGTCCCATGACTGGATTAGCACAACTCCCATCGTCATGGCATGCTGGTGGTGAGGAGAGTGTCAAGCCTCTCGCGACAAAACCAGGAAGTGCAGGAAAGCCAATGCCCGGCTTCAACATTCGCGTTGTAGATGATGACGGCAATGAAGTACCACAAGGAAAGACCGGTAATATCGTGCTGGGTATGCCACTTGCACCCACTGGTTTCACAACACTCTGGAAAGATGAGAAACGCTTCTATAACGGATACATGCTTCGATTCAAGGGTAGATGGATAGACACGGGAGACGCTGGCATCATTGACAAAGATGGTTATGTCCACATTCACGGCCGCAGTGATGACATGATCAATGTTGCCGCCCATAGACTGAGCACTGGTAAGTCCTTATTCGCCAACATCTCGATATCGGAAGATTAACACCATCGCAGCTACCCTCGAACAAGCCATCTCATCACACCCCTCCGTAACAGACAACTGCGTCATTCCAGCCCCAGACCCTCTCAAAGGCCATGTCCCCTTCGCCTTTGTCGCCCTCTCCCCCTCAGCAGGCACAATCCCAGAAGCCGAATTACTCGCCGCCATCAATTCTCGCGTCAGAGCAGCCGTCGGCCCAATCGCCACGCTCGGAGGTATAATCATAGCCCAAGGCGTGATTCCTCGCACCAGAAGCGGAAAAACTTTACGCAGAGTGTTGAAGCAATTGGTCGAAGATGCGAGTGAGGGTAATTTCGACAAAGAGGTTGAGGTGCCAGCGACAATTGAAGATGTGGAGGTTGTGGAAAGGGCGAGGAAGGTTATCAAGACTTATTTCACCAGGAAGAGTAAGTTGTGATGTGGGAAGATGGGGTTTGTATGATTTGTCTGTTGTATACTAGTTTGGTTCTTTGAATGGTCGTGCCTTCCGAGATTGTCATTCTCATCGATCCTTCCTCTTGTGAGACGAATCTGGATATACGTGCATTGTGAAATTGTATGATGCTTTCGGGAAGTTGCGATCGTGCATGTATTGCTCCTGCTCGACCTGGAGACGATTGAGAGACTTCTACAGCTCACGAATGAAAAGGAAGCCTAGGGAAGGCGCGAGTTGATAGAAATGCGAAATGCATTGATGAATTAAGAAGGCCCATAATCGCTGGACTCGAAAAACAGATCAACAATGAAATAACAACAGAGACCAGACTGGAGACCTGATCGAACGAAAATGCAAAACCCTTGATATCATATCCATAACGCCACAGCAAGCGAGAAAGACAAGGACAATCGTCCACTGCCCTACTCACTGCATCCCATCCGCCTCCTAGATTGTCCAATCGTCTAGAACAAGATATCCAAACAACAGCAGCAAGCCAAAGCACTCAACACACCAGCACAGATACCACCACCAGCGCCACTGCTATGTTGCTGCTGTTGCTGGTACCCTTGTGGAGGGTATCCCTGCTGCTGATAATACATCGGCTGTCCTTGCGGCGGGTAACCTCCTTGAGGTGGGTAGCCCTGCTGAGGCGGGTAGCCCTGTTGTTGCGGTGGCATGAATCCTCTGCTTGGGTCGGGAGCGGGAGATGCATAGCCTTGTTGAGGAGGGTAGTAGCTGTTCTGGGGCGCAGCGGGGGTGGAATCGCCATAGTAGTTTGCTGCTTCGCCGCCGGCGGGAGCGGGGTGGGAGGAGTAGTTTGGGGGTGGGCCTGAGGGAGCGTCCTGAGGGAATGTTAGTGATGCTGACGACAGAGAGATTGGTAGTTGGGCACGTACGTATTGACCCATGATGAGCGGTTTACTAGATGTATGCGCGAAATGCGGAGATGGTATAGATGTCCTCGGACGAGAGGAGTAGGCGCGATGCGATAAATGGATTATCCAGATGCGCAATGCAACGTCGAAATTATTGACGATGTAGCGAGTACTGCAAGAGCGAGGCGAAAAGGATGCAAATACGGACGAGAGCGGGAGGAAGGAACGATGCGAAAGATGAATGAATGTCGTTGTCACCGGTCTTCCCTTCCCTCTCTTCTCATATTAAACTCCAAGCCTCTGGGCGCAGTCTACCAAGCCCTGCCCTTCTTGCCGATTTCGCCGACCTTTTGGAATTTCCTTCTAGTCGTCGTTGGCTTTCCATCGTCGTAACACCCAGCTAGCTGTTTCTACTCTAAGCCACCCAATTCTGCGTAATTCTTCCTTTCGAACAACACGACTTCTTTGTCGCATTCGCAGTCTTTGCCACCTTTGGAGACAAGCAGCGTCATTGTTTAAGCTACCCGCGTGATCCGCCTCGGCTTCCTTTGCCGCTGGACATGCGCGACAGGGTCTTTTGCTCTCTTGGGTGAACGCGTGGCGCCTAGACTTTGGAAGATAAATGGAAGAAATATTGTAAATAATTAAGGACCGTCAAGAACAGGTTAGTTACTGCCTGATGGTATGCTACTCATACACTTCTATCTAGTAAACAGTACCAAGTCCTCCGATCTAGGTGACGGGGATGTTTCTAACAAGGTAGTCACGCCATTGAGGCAGAGTTCTCTTGTGAGGTGTGCCAGAGCTGATCTGCAGATCCTCAATCGCCGAACCCCATTTGACGAGCTTGTCTTCTGCGAAAGCAGTCTGCATGATGGCCAAACCGAAAGGCATACCGTTCTCGTGAGTTCCGGCAGGCAGAGTGAGCATGGGGTAACCAGCCTGAGCAGCGATTTGAGGTGCCTGAGCGACATCCGGAGGAACCAATAGACCGTCAAGCTGTGTGCCGTTGGGTCCCATCGCCAGAACAGCATCAATACCGGCCTCACGGGTAGTGTGACGGCAGAAGTTGAGTGCAGACCAGTAAGTCTCGTTCTTTTCTCCCTTGCTGGCCAATGAAGCCAAGAAACCATCTTGTCCAGAGGTGAAAGCAGGGATACCACTGCCGTTTGCATAAGGATAACCACCCTCAGTACCATCGTTGTCGTAGTTGAATTGCACAAGATCCTCGAGAGAGCGGATGTTTGTGTTGTTCAGGTCGGCCAGGTAATCGCGGATGTTGTTGTAGAAGTCGACCTTGATGTAGCTGTACTCGCTCTCATTGGGGTAGCCACGGGTGCTGCCGTAGTCCCAGTTCCAGCCATCGGGAGAGACAATGGTCTCGTAGTAGGGGAGCTCGGTGTTGTTGACGATGGTGGCACCAGCAGACTCGATCAGCGATACAAGTTCAAGGAGGACCTCTTGCTCGTGAGCATCGGCGTAGACCCAGAAGCTGTTCCATGGAATACCAAAGGTGGCTCCCTTAAGGGCAGTCCTGTTGGTCAGGAATTGTGCGTAACCACCCTGAGGTGTCTTGCCGACCTGAGCGGAGGTCTCGTTGTCGTAGACGTCGACACCATGAATAGCATCGAGGACATAAGTGACGTCGCGGACAGTCTTACCAAAGGCACCGACAGTGTCCTGGTTCAGGGATTCAGGGATAACGCCACCACGAGAAGTCAGTCCAACGGTAGGCTTGAAACCGACGATAGCGTTGCGCTGTGCAGGATTAATGACAGAGCCGTCAGTCTCGGTACCAAGAGCAAAGGGGAAGACGTTGGCTCCAACACCAACACCACTGCCTGAACTGCTGCCTCCAGGGTTGACAGTCAAGTTGTAAGCACTACGGCATTGACCACCACGACCGGAGTATCCCTCAGAGTAGTAATTGGTACGCATGTCAGCCCATTCGGACAAAGTAGCCTTTCCGAGGAGGACAGCACCAGCTGCACGAAGTCTGGCTACTACGTGTGCATCGCGAGGTACGATCGAACCCTGCAGAGCCCAAGATCCAGCAGTGGTCTGCATCTTGTCCTTGGTGGCAATGCTGCGAGTGACATGGTCAGTTTCAAGTCATCAAACGGGGAAGGCTGAAATCGTACTTGTCCTTGACCGCAAAGGGAATGCCATGCAGAGGACCACGGACCTTGCCAGAACGGCGCTCGTGGTCCATGGCTGCAGCGATCTCGAAGACATCAGGGTTGATCTCGAGGATAGCGCTGTGCTGCAGTCAGTGCTGTTTCTGATGTCTTGCATATTATAAGAACGTACTTGAGATAATCATGAGTTTGGAATTGTCTTTGCAGATAGCAAGTAGTCAATTGAGCTGATGTGAGGTTTCCAGAGGTCATGTACTCTTGAAGCTCCTCAATGCTCTTCTCTGCAATCACATAGCCGTGACATGCTGGCATAGGGAACAGTAGATCGGTGTTGTTGGCATCCTGCAGCAGAGGGAATCCATACTCCGGATAATCCTGTACCTGTCTCTGTTCAGCTCGTTGATCACCATCAAGAGTCGTGTTTGAGACTCACGTTGGTAGCGTTGTGAAAGCTTCTGGCGCTGGCCAAGCCAAGCGCGATCGCAGCTGCAAGACAGTTGACGATCTGCATCCTCGGAGGTTTCTAAACGTTGCAACAGAGAAGCGAACAGAGCCCAAAACTCGCCCCTGCAGATGATGTGGAAGAAGAAGAACTCTGAGTGTTGAGCCTTCGAGAAATTAGATGCCCGAAATTCAGGGCAAGCTCGACAACACCATTGATCGACATATCTGAGCATCTAAGTACGCACGTACCTGGAAATCCTTCAACAAAGCTCAGTTCGGCGGAAATGCATGCCGAATGGCAGTCGTTCGTGAGGGTTCCAAGGGGGCCGTGAATCTGGTCCGTCAAACTTTAACGACCTTCGGGCAAAGCTTGCCGAACCAGAAGCGCTGCTGCGTGGCGTTGCCAACAGTCCATGCGACTTGGAAGGTTTCAAGAGGTTCTCTTGTCAAGCACATGCTGGCCTTCTCAACTCTCAAGCCAAGTAAGCGGATTTGAGCCTGTGTAGATGTAGGAGCGTGTTGAGAAAAAGGGGTTCGTCCAATCGGAAGACGATCTAATTGAGCTCTCTGTGAACACTGTCTGAATCTCTAAATCAATGTGCATTGCAATAGCTAGTAAAATGGCTTTGGCTGATAGGAACACGCATTTGCCGAATAAGATTCTACATGCGTCGGATATCCTATCTCAAGGTTCGTCGCATCCAACTGCCACACATGTTGATCCCACTTGGTCGAAGTTTCCTGCCCGACCAACCGACCGAAACAACGTTATTGTCTAACGGACGTAAAAGTCTGAATAAGGCCGCGGATCAGGTGCCAAATATGATGGCAATAGACCCTCGGGAATCAAGACCCTTTGATGAGACGGGTGTCCCAGCATCTTGTCACAGAGGGCTCCTCCCTCTCGCATAATTAATCTATCGCGTGGATCTCTGCCTCTGACACACACGCATCTTGCATTACACCGCCTACTTGCCCCTGGCGCCGCCGTCATGGTCGCCGTCGATGTCGCTCAAGCGTACGCCGATGGACGTGTACCCACCAACATATCATACATTACACCGGATTACCTCAGCGAGTCGCGCGACGGACCAGCGATAGCAGGAATACTGGCAATCTACATCATCACCACTATTCTGCTCATATGCAGGTTCGCCTCTCGAATCTTTATTGTCAAGAGCTTCGGACTTGATGACGGCATCGCGGCATTCTCCTGGGCATGTTTCACTGCCTTCATGGCATTATGCCTGGTCTTGATAAATGAAGGAAGCGGAAGGCATATTGAGTATATCCAGTATGTACTCAGTATGCCTGAGGTCGAAGAAACCGAGATTGTCGACTTTGCTGCCCATTTGGTATACACAGCCACTCTATACCTTTGCCGAATGAGTGGTCTCGCATTCTTCACACGCCTGTGCAGTTCGCATCCGACATTCCGAATCTCCATTTGGGCTTGTGGATTCTTCTTGACTGCAGCTTTCCTGGTCCAGTTCTTTCTCATTCTGTTTCACTGCCTTCCAGTGTAAGCGCTTGAACAATATGTTCGATTGTAGAACGTTTACTGACCATGAGCAGTACCGGACTATGGCCCTACGCATGGCAAACCACAGGGAGAACCTACAAGTGCATCACTTGGGGTATTGTATATGTTTCGAACAGCTCGTTATCCCTGATGTAAGCGAGACCATACATGGTTGACTTGAACGAAGTGCTGACATGTTCTTGTAGTTGTGACTTTGTTCTATTCAGTATCCCTATCGCAATGATCGCGATCTTGCAACTTCCCAAGGGTCGTAAGATAGTATTGTCACTTGTCATGTTGCCGGGAATGCTGGTCATTGGGTATGTCGATGTCTTCAAGTCTTGTTTGTTCTCTTACTGACCAGATTTCAGCATCTCATGTGCACGTCTTTGGCTCTGCGTCGTTGGTCAATGGAGAACAGATGGCTCCTGGTATTACAACCCACAACTCGTCATCGAGGTCGCAGAAATCGGATGCACCTTAATCGCCCTGTCCGTCCCCAGCTACAAGCCGATATTGAGCAGATGGTATGGACAGATGAAGAGCACAGTCGAAGCATCTCGTGGACCTAGCTCAAAATACGGAGAGGGAGTGTCGAATCGGAAAAGCTCGATACCAGGACTTTGGAGTCAGCAGCCGGTGGACTCGAAACTGAAGACGTCAATTCAGAGTGGTGGCCAGACAATTGGATCCCGAGACTCTTCAGATAACAGTCTCCTGACTCCAGATGACAACATCTATGTGACGACGGACGTGGATATGAGGTCGATTCCGATGGCCAAGTTGAGGAAGAACAGTGGATATGTTTAAGCTAATATTCTTGAGTAGCCGTAGGCGAATATAACAACAATGTAATATCATCCTCTGTGTAAGCTGTGCCAGACGTGGACTTGATTGTTGGAAAGAAAGATGGCGGACTTGGTCGCCGGATCGCTTCTGTTTCTCGGGATAGACGTTGCAGCCTGAGCCGAGAGTCAGTTGGTCCGAGCTCGATGTCGAATCGACCCCGCAGCCGCCAGTCAACTTTCAAGCATCGTTTGTGAACGGATACACCGTTCGTCCACATACCATCCGTGGTGACATCTGGGGAAAAAGAACTTGTCCAAGTGACCTCAACAAGAGAATCTGTTGTATATGCTGGCAATGCAAGTGACCTCGGAAGTGATTATCGTGATGAGCTCCTGAAACAAATCGCCTGGATGATAGTCTTACCAGCCACCCCAGCCGCCTCTTGCAGCAGCACTACGTAAGCAAGAGAAGAACCTGTATCTTTTTCGTTTGTACTTTTCTCCTCATCCTCGTCATTCTGCTCCTTCACTTTGTTGATAACGTCCGGAATTTCACACGCTCACTTCACTTTGCGCCGACACTGAACATTCTATCCCGTCCGCTGTGTCACTACAATCAAATCCATCAACCAATCGCATAAATCCAAACGACACCCACCAATCCGACTCAATCAGTCCTCGAGCGGCAGCCTTGCGAAAGCGAGAAGCTACACACAATCATTCAACCACAAATTCGACAGCCCAACAAAGCATACACAATGTCAGCTCTCGACAGCGCAGCACCAGTGCAGGCCAGAGCCATCAACGCAATGTCAGTTCCGTGGATCATCGCAAAGAGAGCACTGCCAGGCATCGTCGGACGCACAACAAGCCCACCTCAGTTCCTGTCAGCAAGAGACAGCATGGTCGCCATCCCTACCGTCTACTACGGCCTCGACAGCGGTCCCGATGCTGGCACTGTTGTCGGCGCAACACTCGGTTCAGTCGCAGGTTTCATCCTCCTCGTCTGGCTCATCCAAACTCTCGCAAGCGGCCGCAACAAGCAACCCGACGAAGAAGTCATCATCCGTCACGAACGCTCGCCTAGAAGACGTCGTAGATCTGAGATGCGCTCCGTTAGCAGAGGTCCCGAACGTGTCATCCGTCAAGAGAGAATTGTCAGAGACACAAGCCGCGCACCGCCACCCATGAGAAACAGCTTTGTCGTCGAGCCTGAGAGAAGAGTCGATGGAGATGACATTGTCGAAGTCATCGAGGAGCAGTCCTCTGTCGCACCCAGAAGAAAGAGTCGCAGAGGCAGCGGTACATACCGGTCAGTAGACCCTCTGATGTACGATGATCGAGGCTACGTACACAGAGATGTGTATTAGTCTTGGGCATGCGTACATACTACTTCGGCCGCATCTGCAGCGGACTAATGTGCCTTCGCAGATACAGATGATCAACGACACCCAAGGCAAAATCGCATCGTTTGTTGAACCTCAGCACACGACAGATTAGCGTGACTAATGGTGGTTCATCTTGTATTATGGGAGTTCTGAGAAGGGCGTTCATGGGCCGAAGGTTGTTGAATGTAAATAATGGTCTCGAGGAACAGGCGGCCTTCCACGGAAGGCGGTACAGCAGGGGATACGGGATTGCTTTTTTTTCTACTCGAGCGGTAGTCACGTATACAATAGTGGTGTCGATGACTAGAATCGGAGTTAACCTCGTCGATATCCTCAATTCGATGCTATCTCTCTTCAAGCCACAGTGTAGTTTAAATGCAGCTGCTGAATTGCAAAAGGTCATTGTGATACAGAAAAGTTCCGGAGAGAGCCTAGTGGAACAAGAGTACAGTGAGGACGAGCAGATATCAACCGGATATGTTCGTCATAAACAGCTAGAATTGTTAAAGAATGGAAGAGAGCAGGTGTTGCGGAGGAGAAAAGGACAAAGACATGGATGGGCAGCTTCCCCAGATTTGTGACGTTGGTGCTTTGAACTTTGTCAAGAGTCAAGACACGAGGCCGCCCACCAACGTTGCAACTTCCAAAGCAGCTGCCTCTCTACTTGACACATCTGCCCTTTCCCTACAACCTGCTGCCTAGCCACCTACAATCGACAGCTGCCCAACATGTTCAATCGCAACAACATACCAACCATACCCAACCCGTTCGGAAGCGGCCAACAACAACCCCCTCCGTCGCGTCGACCCCTCCAACAAGCCCCTCCTACATACGAACAGAAGCCTTCAAGACCATCAGGACGCGCCATGAGACTACGTCCTTACCAGCTCAAGGAGCCAGCCTTTGTCTTTGGTAACATGTGAGTCCGCCTGAGCTGAGCATGCCTCTGTCGAGCATACCCCTGTTGAAGCCTCAAGCTGACCTTTGCCTGTCAGTTGCGCCGTGTCACCACAAGACTTCCAACCCAACCCCGATGGCAGCGACCTCTACCTTCTGATCAATGGCTTCTTCGTCATCTCAGCGCGCATCAAGCAGGGCTTCCCTGGCGGTCACATCAGCATGTCTGATCCTCAGCGCACATGGATGCAAATCGCCCTCACCGACGAAATCGATGTTCAACCCTACGACGCCTTCGCACAGGGTGCATCAAGCTACCTGGGAAACATGGACGTAGAAGTCGGCTTTGCCGGAAAGAAGTCAACCGAAGCACCCTACGATCAAGATGAACTTGCCGCTGCTTTCATCCACAACTTCCGTAACCAAATCTTCTCTCCTGGCCAACTACTGCTCATGGATTACAAGGGTATTCCCCTTCGTATGATTGTCAAGACAGTCGAGTTGGTAGATCTATCCATGAAGGCTGGTTCCGATACACAAGGCCCTACACCAGACCCTCGTGCTCGTGGTATCCTTACACAAGAGACTCAAATCAACTACTACAAGGATGTCAAGACCGGTATCAACATCAAGGGTTCCAACCGTCGTCCTGCTGCCAACTCGGTCGTCCGTCCCGACTTCAAGTTCGAGAACATGGGTATTGGTGGTCTCGACACTGAATTCGCCGCCATCTTCCGTCGTGCTTTCGCTTCAAGAATCTTCCCCCCTGGTCTCGCCGACAAGCTGGGTATTCAGCACGTTCGTGGTATCCTTCTCTACGGTCCTCCCGGAACCGGTAAAACTTTGATCGCTAGACAAATCGGAAAGATGCTCAACGCAAGAGAGCCCAAGGTCATCAACGGTCCTGAAGTCCTCAACAAGTACGTCGGTCAATCAGAGGAGAACATCCGAAAGCTCTTCGCAGACGCAGAGAAAGAGTACAAGGAGAAGGGTGATGAATCTGGTCTGCACATTATCATTTTCGATGAACTGGATGCTGTCTGCAAGCAGAGAGGTTCAGGAGCTGGCGGTGGTACTGGTGTTGGAGACAGCGTCGTCAACCAGTTGCTTTCCAAGCTTGATGGTGTCGACCAACTGAACAACATTCTGCTCATCGGTATGACCAACAGAAAGGATATGATCGATGAAGCTCTTCTCAGATCTGGTCGTCTGGAAGTACACATGGAGATCTCACTGCCCGACGAGCACGGCAGAGCCCAGATTCTTAAGATTCACACCACAAAGATGCGCGAAAACAATGTCATGGGTGACGATGTCAACCTTCAGGAGCTCGCAGCTTTGACTCGTAACTTCAGTGGTGCTGAGATCAGTGGTTTGGTTAAAAGTGCATCAAGTTTCGCATTCAACCGTCACATCAAGGTCGGCACGTTGGCTGCAATCGATGACAACATCGTGAACATGAAGGTCATGCAGCAAGATTTTATTGATGCGCTCGGTGAAGTACAGCCCTTGTTTGGTGTATCAGAGGAAGAGCTTGACCGTTGTGTTGAAGGCGGTGTCATCCACTTCGGCAAGCACATCGACAGTATCCTCGAGCGTGGCCGTTTGTTCGTCAACCAAGTCCGTTCAGGCGACACACCTCTACTCTCTGTGTTGCTTCACGGTCCACGTGGAAGTGGAAAGACTGCCCTCGCAGCGAAGATGGCACTGGATTCCGAATTCCCATTCATCAAGCTCATCAACCCCATGGATCTGGTCGGCATGAATGAGATTCAGAAGATTCAGACCCTGCAGAAGGTCTTCACAGACGCATACAAAAGTCCTCAGAACGTGCTCGTTATTGACAATATCGAGCTATTGATCGATTGGGTACCTGTAGGACCTCGCTTCAGTGCGAGCGTGCTAGCAGCTTTGAAGGTCATGATGCAGAACAAGCCTCCAAAGGGTCGTCCATTGCTTATCTTTGCAACCACATCGTCGCGCAGCGTGTTGCAGCAGCTCCAACTCGAGTTCTCTGCTCAAATCGCAGTACCGAACATCCAAACACACTCTGAGCTCGAAGCAATCATGAAACAAAGCGGCGCTTTTGCTGATGCTGACATACAGCGCGCGCTCACAGAGATCCAGGAGACTACTGGATCAAGGACTATTAATGTCGGTGTTTCGAGCATCTTACTAGCCATCCAAACTGCCAAACAAGATCAGGATAGAACTGGTAGATTCGCAGAGGTGGTTAGCGAGATGTGCGCTGACAACAATGTCAATTACGAGTAATGGGGCTAGGGTAGATAGATGTCCTGCGGGATATAGATGTAGGAGTACAGGATTGTAAGAATGCAAAGACTTCTCAAAAACCATGAAATGTCCAAGGAGAGTCGAGAACTTCAGCGCTCTCAGTGGAGGCAAAACACATTGTGCCTTTTGAAAGCCGACAACCACTAATGTGTTGGGCAGGAGAGAAGAGAGCTCAATTGTACAATGAATACCTTTCTAGTTCAATCTGGCCCAAGGCCATTCTACAAAATCACCGCTCTCAATCGAGACCACGACTGAGCTTGAAATCTTCGTGCCTGATGGTAGCTGCTGCAAATCAGTGATCTACGACGCATGGGATGGGAACTCGCTGCTGCCCAGGCGCGTCTACATTCGTGTTGTACAGTGTGACTACTCGAGTAGTAGCTTGATTTTGGTAAATGTATAATTAGGGCAAGCAGCTTCCTTAGCTCCTGCCCAATCTCTCTTGCAATTGCCCTTTGTTTTCTCATCCGTCCTCGCCAATCTCCTTTTTTTCTCTCTTTAAATCAGGATTTCTTCCGCGATCTCGAATCAGGGATTCTTTCCTTGTAATCTCGAGATCCTTCTAGATGTTGAAAGGAGTCCGTCCGTCGGCGACCATATCCTGAAATCCTTGCCAAGCGGGCCGGCCTTTTGTTCCTTGCCGTAGTACAGGGAGGACGAAATTTGTTGGCGCCATCCTTAGGGTACATACGCGTATTATTTCTAGTAAGCCAGCATGTGATGATCGCACAACAGGAGGAACTTGATGCCGAGAGAGAGAGATTTCGATTGGAGATACGAAGGGGGATGCACCGTGAAAGGGGGGAGAGAGAGCGAGACCATCATGATGCTTCCCTCATATGGGCAAATGCTAATAGATTACTAGGGCTTGATTCTGCGCATCTAGAAGGAGGTGAGCTGATGAGAAGGAGATCATTGTGAGGCGTTCGTATCGTGCAAAGGTAGATGTCAAAAGCCATGGACGGAGAGACCGAGATCCGCGTTCATGGTGGTTGACGAAGGAAGCAGGAAGAAGGACAAAGAGAAGACAGAGAAGGAAAAACAGGTTACATCGTCTCGCGAAGCATGCCAGCATTGGAAGAATAATTGTAAGCAAAAAAAGCCGAATACAACGTCGAGGTTTGTTCAACAGAAGTTGCAACCGACGTCTGTCGTGGTTGGATGTCCAGTTTCCATTTTTGGTGCAAGGAATGACGCTGAAGTGCAAGGCTGATCTTTTCACATCATTTCCTCTTAGAGTGAGCGCAGAGGTGATCGTCCAAACTCTGGAAAGATCAAAGGAATCAGCGTGCAAGCCACGTGCAATCCACGAGCGACAATCATGAATGTCGCGAAATGTCTACTTTTGTCGCTTATGAAAGGAAGTCGCAACCCTTGCTGGTTTACCAGTCGGCGACCAGCATGGTTGCTGCGCCTTCCAAGTGCAAGAAGATCTCATTCGTCTTGCGCTCTCTGAACTGGCCGGCTTTAACTAAGGTAGAAGTTTGAAGCCACCGGATCATTCTTACATCCATGTATGATCGCCCTCTCACTGCCGTCATTCACGCTCGGTTGTTGCCATGAACGTTACCCATCGCAAGCCCCGACAACTCCGTGGGAATACAGTATCACACAGTTGAATGGTTGAAAGACCTCGCTTGGAGAGCACGAACATTCAACAGCGTCATCTTTGTCTTGCATGCCTTGCCCAATGACGAGAATCGTACAGAATTGTCTGCCTCTGCCTACTGGTTCTAACACTAACCGTACCCAATCCGACTCCGGTCGACCATAGCGTCTTGCTTAAGCTACCTCCACAACCACCATGCAATGATGCAAACCTGGTAAACGCCCCCATGAGCGGTGAGATGTCCCTGCAGATGGAAGAATTAAAACCGCTGGGTAAACCCAACAACAGCAGGGGAGGGAATATGCAATGCGTGAGGCGGCGCCTCTTTGAGATGGTCACCCTCCAACCTTGAAGCGCGTACCGATGCAAGCCTCGATAAAGTCAACTGTATGAAGATGATGGAGGGGGGGAATGACAAGCCAAACACGGGCTGACTGTCGTTTTCCCAAACCATAACGATTCAAGGACCAAAAGTCTAGACCCACACCGAATCTCAAGACGGGAGGTTGCTTACCCAAACCGAGACCTGTAAAGTCGTTTATCGAAAAGAGCATGTATGACGGAAGTTCCGTCCTACGAAGAAAGCCACGACGGGTCAACTGCTGTGTTTCAAGTTGATCGAAAGAGTAATCCGAACCCAGCCAGCAGCGCCCAACGGGACGCGCGCAAAGAAAACGGGCGGCGCGTACAACGACAGGTTGGAGTAATTCGGAAATTTGATCTCGCCCCTGCGCTTTAGCTGCTGCTCGCTGATGCTACTGCTGCTGTTGCTTGCTGAATGGAGCGAGCTCCTCCCGGTGGATGGTTCTCCCGGTCACGGTCCACTGCTCGAGCAACCGCACCGGCCTTCTGCGCAATGACGGGTTGGTGAAGCTTGTACACTGACACACCGCATCGAGAAAGCTCTACCGAATGAAACGGACAGAGCAGCTTTGGTGACATTTGGTGACATTTGGTGTTTTCGGTAAAATGTTCGCTTTGGTCAAGGATGTGCATGCCAAAAGGGAAAACCCCATCATCCTTGCAGAGATTGGACAAGGTACATAGCGTGGGACGCACGCAGAAAATGCAAAGACCACGCGTGCTACTTTTGTTGATCTCTCTTGTCGATCTTTCTCATGCGGCTTGCGCGCGCGAGTCGCAACGTGAAGTTGTGTTTTGCAGGCAGCAGAAGGGGAAAGCATCAACACGAAGCGAGATCAAAGTTCAAGCCTCGGACTGGGGTCGCAACGGCCTGTCAGCAACCTTCTTACACTTGCTTCAGAAAGGAAAAGGCATGTTGAGCCGTGGGGGTGGCAGGTCAAGTGGAGTGCGCTGAAGATGTCGCACACCTCTTTTCCAACGGCCGCTTCTGGAGAAAGAAACAACGTCCGCGCATGTTGCTACTGCTGCTTGCCGCGAAAACCGTTCAAAGGGTTTCTCTGCTCAAAGCTCTTTGCCCGTCCAATTCGGCTGGAGGAACATGCCGATATGAGGACACAGACAACGGGAAGTCCCTTGTTTCGTGCACGCCGCGGCAGAGTAGTTCGCAAGATGACAGCGGACTTGTAAAACAGAGACAGGAACGAGACATGACCATAGCTCGGGTGCGGCTGCACGTAATAACCCACCACCCACTAAACACTACAAGTGACTCGTGCAGGAATCGAGAACAAGGACTTTTTTACGATTGTGGAGAAGCTCATCTGGGACATTGCAAGCCACCAAAAACTGCAGGAAATAAAAGGGCCGCCCTTGTTGCCATCATTTTGTCGATATTAGGAAAGCGCCTTGTTCGGCACGATGTTGATGGAGTTTATACACCACGCCCAGATGTTTTTTTAATCTATACACGTAGTTGATACGACGACGAAAGGAAGTCAGAATGGCCGACAGCCGTTTTTCATCATCATCGTCTTTGTGATCTGGAAGAGACGACGTTGGCCTTCTTTCGCGATCCGAGGAGAATCAGGGCTTGAGATCGAAAGTGATCAACATTTCCTTGACTGTCAATGGTTAGCCGCATGAGCATCATAAAAAGATCTGGTGGATGATTCAAGAAAGGCAGGCGCATACAAGGATTGCAAGTAATTGCGTGGTTTCTCCAGTTTTTAGAAGTCTTCTAATTTCCCGGAGGTGCCGTAGTTCGCCAAAAACATGTCAAGAGTTTTGGAAAGAGGTGGTCGATTCGCTCCTAATCTTGTTGTTGCCCCGTCCCTTCCGAGCCCAAATCATCATGATGGTTTGATGGGATCACGTCCTTTTCTGAACGACGCGATGACATGCAGGATGAGCACGCACACACAGGCTGGGTTTGGTTCTCCTTGCGATCCCTCACAATCTTGCGGAACAAGCGATGGCTTGGACGCCACTTGATTTTTTGGAAAAAAAAGCCCACTTTGTTGTTCGTAAAACGGCTCCATGACCATCTATCTCACCAACCCTCCGGATGAGAAACTGATGGACCGTTGATGTTTCACGAAGACGTTCTACCCACCTGCCTGCCTCTATTGTTTGATATCATACGCGAGCTTGTTCGTTTCTGTCGTGTCAATACTATGATATGGTCCGAGGGGAGCTATAAGACTTTTCTCAAGACTTATTAAGTGGACGCTATCTCATGACAAGAAAGCTGTAATGAGTTGTAGTTCTCGAGCCAGCCCTTGAACACTTCCCGAAAAAGAGATTCAGGACCCGTCATCATCAACAACATCATCAACCATCATCATCATCAACATCATCAACATCATCAACGTCATTCATCATCAAGCATCAGCATTTCACAAGAACAACACAACCGCAGGCCGAGGATCACTCAATCAATTTCTCTTGTCGCGCCCTGACCCGACAGAAAGAGTGTTGGTGTTACATACCGCATACAGCTGCACCAAGAGTCTAGCCTTTTCCGATACTCTGAACCAGTCATCGGGTCGTCCCTTGACGAAGCGTGAAAGGGCATCCACCAGAGCCGGCCAGACCTGCCTTTCGGTCGCGCGTGCTTCGAAACCCGGTCGCGGACTAAAGCTGACTAGTTGCAACGGGTATACTAAGGCGAACGAATCAGTGTACCGATCTGCATCTGCATCAACATCACAACCCCCCCCCTCCAGGGCAAAGGCAGGAGAGACGTCACGCAGCACCGCTCCAATCCCCAAAAACTGTATGTTGCGCCCCAATCCTTTTTCCACACTTTTTTCGATTTTATTTTTGGTCTCGAGTCCTTCTTCATACACATCATCATCATCATCATCCGTTTCCTTGTTGCTGTCATTTCGAAACCATACAAAGCACATTCCCTCAGATCGGTTCTGTTGTATATACCCAATTTAATGCTCGGGATCGATCTGGTTCATTAAACCTAACCCCGGACCGGACAAGGCTTCTCAAGCACGACCATGTTGCTCACATTATCGCAGCCCGGGAAATCAGATTTTGGCGCACGTACTACGCATGACTTTAAATCACCGCAATTACCCAGATATTCTCCAAAGTCTATGATGAACGACGCTGTACGACCTCCACTGCCGGCCAGTATCACCCCGACCATGTCGAACCAACATAGAGGCTTGCCTCCACCAGCTGCCATGACCCTGCCGGATCCAGGGAGAGGCCCTCCAAGGATTCCTCCGCCACCTCCTCCGGTGCAAGCGCCGGCGCATATCCATCATGAAGCACAAAGGACACAATGGCAGGATGAGGCAGAGTCATCACGCAATTGGCATGCGACTAGGGTTGAAGAGGAGAGAAGAAGGCAAGAGGAAGAGAAGACACGGCAAGAGACGTTACGACTTGAGCAGAGACGGGTTGAACACTCCATGTTGAGAGAGTCGATGCAGGGTGGTATTCCTCCGCATATGGTTCCCATGATCTTTGCAGGCATTGGCGGTGCCAACCTTGCGAACTTTAGTCTGGAAGTGTTGCAGCAGTATACCACTCAGTTGCAAGCCGCTCAACAACAACTCCAACAGCCTGGACATGATGAAGGAAGGGAAAGGAGAAGCATCAACCAACCTCCTGCTCCGTACGCATTACCTTCCCAACCTCAATCACAGGCTCATCCTGGCCCTCAACAACCCCCACCACCGCTGGCTGCTCATCAATCGACCTTTTCTGCATTCCAATCCACCTCTCCTCCAGGCAGACGGATTCCTGGAGCGCCTCGGTCATCCGTGGCTCAATCCACCTTGCCTCGTCTGACAACTGGAGACATGCAAATCAACCCGCCTCCATCTGCACCGAGCAGCGCTCACCCTCTGCATCAGACTCAAACAATCCAACAAGACCAGCCGGCCTCGTCCCCGTCCATCTACTTCCACCACTGGGTGCCACCGACGTCACAGGCTGACTCCAAGTCGGGTAACCAGCCGCAAACTCCAGTCACGGGCACAGGTGCATCGCAAAACTCTGAAGGAGGCCACCACACAGATAGCCCTCGCAAGCGCAAGAACCAGCAGGCCCATCAGCCACCTCCACCTCCGTCGTCGCTTCCGACTCAATCTCATTCAAGCCCGAGTTTTTCCACGACCTCCTCCGGCCGTAAAGGTGGTCCTGCGCATGAATTAGCTCGTAGCAATGCCTCGCCTCGTGCTATTCCCGGTGCCGGTCAAACTCCGAGTCGTCGTGATAGTGGTGCCCCTGGTACGCATCTAGACTTTGTTTATGAGAGAGGTGCGCCTCCAAGCAAGAGTCAGCAACAGCATCATCACCCCTCGTCTCACCATTCGACCGCTCCTCCTAGTCCGAAGAGGGATGCTCGTCACCAATATTGAGCATATTTCTCCATGATATTACTCCCTTCACTTCTTTCTTCCGAGGTCGCTTTCAAGGATCAAAAAACAAATGTCTAATGACCCTCACCGCGGACACTCGTTTTACCACCAACCACCATTTTTTTTCCAGGCGCTGGAAACGCCACCAAAGGCATGTTTCCATCCCGCCTCCGGCACGTTCGTTCACGAAACAGCCCGAGTATGAAGGAAAACATGCTCACCTCAATCTCCTCTCTTGCCTATAATCTTTAATGGGCTCGAGGTCAACAACAACCTTTCTTGAACAACCAATGATTTGGTTCTTGTTCATGCTTCTTTTTGGAAATGGAGCTTGCTCCTTGATTTTCCAAATCCTTCAAATCAATCTCCTTTGTGTTGTTCAATCTTCCTTTGAAAAGAAGAATGATACCCCCTTCTCCCATTTTCCTCATCCCATCTGCTGGCAAATCTCTCTCCTATATATACTATCACCATGCCACAACAATTTGTTGGCCTTTGAGCTGAGCTCGAAGAGTGTTCCTTTCCTTCCTTCATCCCCACCCACACCGCTGGCATTTTCTTCTCTCTTGCAAGGATCAAGAGCTGGATATTGAAAACGGTGTGGATGTGAGGATGAAGGAAAAAGAGGCACAAACCACATATCGAACAGGGCTGTTCAATTTTTCATTTACTCCCGAAATTCAAACAAATCTTTACATACTGTACTTGCTTGCTCACCTCTGCTTCTTGCTCCTGTCCTCGTATCTTGTGAACATGCGACGTCTTCACAATGTCAGTCAAGTGTGAGTCCAGATCGTCGTAACCCGGCACGACATGCCTCGTTGTCAATTGATCATCCATGAGGCAGTGTAAAATGCCGTTTCAATCATTGGAGAAAAAGGGTTCACCTTTACTTAGCAGCAGTGTCTTGATGTCGCTGCCGTCCCGTGTCTCGGAGGAAATGGATCTGTAAACCTACTCTCGTTGACCGTTGGTGTTGAGTATTGTAGCTGATCAAGATCAAAGCTGACGGTGCTGACCGAAAAGTCGATCAACCTCCAGCCGAACCACAATCCTTCATCTCCAAAGAGAGACCTTCAGCGTGTATATTGTTTCGGCCCTACTCTTTGGGTATGCTCCCTTCCCAATAGTCAGGTCAGGTAGACCCAGCGAAATGGGTCAAATGAGGTTGAGAAAGTCCAGACAAACCATAATGGCCCAAGAGACGGCACGTATAAGCGTTTAAAAGACCAATGAGAGAGACGATCCGAATCAAGTACGGAGTAGCTCGAGCGAAGACACACAAAAATCTCCATATAGCAACAAAAATCAGCGACTATCCAAAGTCAAAATCATCAGATCAGTAGTAATAGCCGTGCCGTGAATTGGTTCCAGAGTCCAGACTCCAGACTTTTTGGGTCCTTCGTCTTCAAGGCAAAGCACGCAACGGAAACGCAAGCCGCAAGTCGTTGAAAGTTGGATTTCCTGACAGGCGCGGGATGAGGCAAGTGATAATCTGAGACACTGCAAGAATTGACGTGATGCGACAGAGTTTCGCGGGAAGGGATTCGAAAAATGTCTCAGAAATGCAGAAATGGCGTCCTTTCGGAGCATTTTCTCCGATAGGCATTTTACACAGTCGATCTTTCTCATTCATTTGATGGTGTGTTTTGTTTGGCGAAGATGTGGTAACGGGACTGCATGTGCCGGGACGTATTGGAGATAGGCGATATAGGGGAGGTAGAGTGGGTTGATTAGTGATTCGAGCATAAGCGAAGTAGTGCTTGTGGTTAGTCGGGTTGGCATGTTTCTTTGTCCTTGTGCTGTTGCATGCACGCGCGTCCGAATGTGGAGTTCCATCTCAGGGGTTGTTGAATTGATACTTCTGCCTCTCGAGTGTGATGGGGCTTGTGGAGATTGTGATTGGCATTGCGACAGTAGGAGGGGACAAGTCTCCAAGGCGGGAGTCTTTGTTTGGTGGTTTCAGTGCAGAGCGGTCGGTCATGACTGATATCGGAACATGGATGCCAGCTATGTCCGGGATGCGACGTGGAGAAAGGTGGGTTTGTGTCTGGTGATGGATGCATAGATCTGCCACAATGGAAAGAGCGCATGCTTGATGGAAAGGGAAGGGGATCTTCAGCTTCGAGGGCGCCAAGAGATTTGAGAGACGGACTTCGAACGAGGAAGGCTCGATCAAGCAATCATGATTTTTGTTGGTGTTTCATCATTTTCGTCTTGACCGTCGCGTCGCCATCTATCTCAGGCCTCATCGAAGACAACTCTCACCTGCATCAACCACGTGTCCAACGAGATGAACTGCCTCCGCCAGGCCAACCGACGACTCATTCAAATCAACAAAGCGCTTGCACTACTGCCGCCGATAGAACAGTCATTACTCGCAATCCCCGCTCTCTCGCATACCCACCTTACGCCCAGAACATGCATCGCACATGCCTCTAGCTCCTCGACACGGTGGAAGACACGCCAGACGAAAGACCACTTTGCTCGAGAAGCCAAGGTCGCCGGTCTGAAGTCACGCGCCGCTTTCAAACTGCTAGAGCTGGACTCGAAGCACCACATCTTTCGCAAGGGCGGCACTGTCGTAGATCTGGGCTATGCGCCTGGTAGCTGGAGTCAGGTTGCTGTCAGCAGAACGAGTCCAGGTGGCAGAGTTCTGGGCATCGACATCATCCCTGCACAACCGCCGCGAGGTGCGTCAAGCATTCAAGGCAATTTCTTGAGTCCAGAAGTGCAGGCTGAGGTGAGGAGATATGTGCGAGATCCTGCATTGGGTCGAGCGAGGGCAAGAGTGACCATGTCAAAGAAAGGCGAAACCGAGGCCGAGGAAGAGGATGGTGCGACGGAAGAGGAGGTTGAAAGCGAAGGACGCGGTGTGCTACGAATGGCTCAAGAAACAAAGACGAAAGAGAACGAGCAACCCGACCAACAGGAACAACAACCAGACGAAGAGGCGGAGCAAGAGGAAGCACAACTCAGCGTGCGGAAAAAGGATCTTCGCGACGGAAGAGTTGTCGATGTTGTGCTAAGTGACATGTCAGCACCCTGGGAGCAGACGACCGGTCACTGGATCAGGAGCGTTAGTAACCCGTATTTCAGGATGATGAACACGAGCGGCACCGCCTTTCGTGATCACGCTGGCAGCATGGTAAGTCTTTCTGCTTCTTTCAATTTTCTTCTCTCCGTCTTCTTACACACACAACTCTCGTTTTCTTCCACTTTCAAGAATGCATTGGCTGAAGCGATGGCCTTTTTGCACCGGTAGGATCTCTGCAATGCTGCCTTGACTTTCTGCTACGACACCCTCCGCACCGGCGGTCACTTCATGTGTAAATTCTACCAAGGCTCCGAAGACAAGGCTTTTGAAAATCGACTCAAGAAGTTGTTCGACAAAGTCCACAAAGAGAAGCCCGAGTCTTCGCGCAAGGTAAGCTTGTCAAACTACTTTTGACCCTCGTGAATCAAAAAGGTGAAGTATCGATTGCTGACTGTGGTTTTTTTTCCGTTTGATGCAGGAGAGTAAAGAGGCCTATTTTGTTGCATTGAGGAGGAAGCCTGATATTCCTAGAGAATTGGTGTTCCCTGACGAATATATCGAGGAGAACGAGTTTCCGGAATGAAGAAAAACACTTCATTTGCTGTCGATACCCCTTTTATGAACTCGCAACTCCACCATCAACACCTTCAAGTGACGACTCGTGAACTCGCTCTCAGCGGACATGCACACAAATACCAAAAACATCGTGCCTTTTGACGGGTGGTTTGGAAGGCACGTCGGGGGAGGCTGGGAGCTCAATTTGAACCCAGCAATGATCAGTGCACGAGGCAAAGACGAAACAAAAAAGGCGAAACGCCATGGCGAGCGGACGAGTTGAACGACCATAACTCTTCTTCTACCTAAACATCGACACGTTTAGTTACAAGCAGAGAAACTCGCCAAATCAACATGTGAAGATGCTATGACTCACGAAGATCACATTAACGCTTACAGGTACTCTTGGTAATCAAAAAGAGATGGAGACAGACCTACGAATTGCTCAAACGGTTCCAAGATCAAAAATGAATGTATTCTTCCGATAACCAAATGGACAACTAAAATGCTATTAAGGGTACTCCTCTATATATATCTACTCCCAGCAGACACCTTTCCCTAAGTTCAGATATCCACCGATGCAATCCGCGCCGCCCTCCCATGTGAGTTGAAAACACAATGTTGACCCTTTTTAAAATTCATAATTGTCCTCTTGAGAAGGAAAATATTCGTCATGAATGACTGGTCTTAATGATCAATCACAAATCCTCCACGCCAAAGTGTGGTTGTCTCTCACACCCTCAAACCAGCAAAACCCCAATTTCGATTCGAACAAGGCTTTCTGTTCGGCTTCCAGACACTCGAGTTTGTCGTGTTTGCCCCAAATCCAATACTGTGGCAACCACGTATCGGAATTATGCCCGAAGCAGCAGCTGTGTTCGTAGAACCCTTGCGGGATGAGTTCGCGGACATAACATTGTCTGCGAGGTTTGAGACCTTGGTTTCTGAGGTTGGTGCAGTCATAGAAATTATTGCAGAGGGCGATGCTCTGGAGAAGGGGCATGTAGGGAACAGTAGCAAGAATCTTGGTGATGACATCGTGTTCCAGAGTTTTTGCACGAGATTTGCTGAAGCTTTTGGTACCTGGAGGGCGAACTTTTTGGATCGATGGAGCAACGGTGAGATGTCTGATATATCTGAGTCCAACATTTTCGGGGGAGCAGAAATTCTCGACGATGTGGAGTTCCCGCTCGTTGTTGGTGATGAGCGTCCTACGATAGAGGTGAGTGAGGGCTCCATTTCGAGAGTTCTGGTTGATAAGACAAAGCGCTGCGAGATCCTTCGATGAAGATAGGTGTTGTCCGATAATGCCCCACAACTCGCGTGGAAGGTCCCGCAGGACTGGGGGCTGTTCGTGAGGCTCGGGGAGAGTGAGGCTGGAGGTGAGAGGCGCAACAACCTTTTCACCTCTCGTTGGGCAGAAGTTGGGCCGGTTGCAGGTCCCGTCATGTTTGACGTGGGTTGAAGCAACAGAGGTTTTTGTTCTGGGTTTGGGATTTCCGGGTTGTGAGCCGATGTCTGTGGAAATGTGTGAATAAGGAGTTGACGGAGTAGATCCGTTAAAGCGTCCATCGCGTCGGCGCTTCGATCTTGTGGCAGGCATATGAAACTCAAGAATAAATATATGATTTGCAAAGGCATCGAAGGAAGGCTTGGAAGAAGTTCTGTGAGAGATGGTTGTGAGGAATAGGAAGGTATGGAATGATCAAAGAAGGGGGCGAATTTATAGTTCGATGAATCACAGTCATAACCAGCACTGCTTGAGTGATTTTGAGTCCGGAGACGAGTATTAACGACGAGTAAATTTGTCCCGGCGTCATTCGTCAATGTGTGGGCAGATCTTGAGCTCGTGCATACGTGTATAACAACCGAAATTGGAGAAGGGATTCATTACAGGGTATCATTGTGTTGGCGCAAGAGCGCTCTTGCAGAAGATGAACAGCGAAAAAAGGTGCCACCTCATAGAGAAGACTTTTCGATCATGTGCGGAAAGACATGACTGAGGCCATCAGCAGGTGCCTTGGTCTTGTCGTCGGCATTCTCATCATATCGCATGGTCTTCTCGCCACTTGCCGGATTTTGGCTGGCGATATCGGGCTGACCATCCAGATGGTCCTTGCGGATTTGGTCTTGATGCCACTTGGACATATCCAAGGTCTTGTCGACTTCTTTCGTGAGCTTGTCGATTTCATCTTGGAACTTCTCGTCTCTAGTCTTCTTGGCTTCCTCTTTGGAAATGTCGTCCTTGGTCTTGCGTGGTTTACCAGGTATGTATTCGGGATCTGTCTTTGCCCAGAGGTCTTCAAGATCGTCTTCCCAGCCGACGGCTTTTGCGAGCTTGCGCACACCAGCATCGCAGTCGCCAAGTAGCAGAACATCATCAGAGCGAGAGCCAAGACCACCAACTCTTTCCATATTAATCAAGACGCGAGGCACGCCCGACTTGCAAGCACCGGGCAGACTGGCGAATGGTTGTACTTGTAATGAAGTGCCCAGAACGATGCAGAGGTCGGCTTCGGTAGGCACATCGATATTGTCAAAGAATGCACTGGGCAGCTGTTCACCGAAGAAGACAATCTCGGGCTTGACCAGTCCATTGCAGCTGGATTTGTGACAGTGTGGAATCGTCTTGGCTTCGATGTGCTTTTTCAACTCGTCTTGTGGATATGGGGTTTTGCAGTCAATACAGCTCTGGCGAGCGAAACTGCCATGGGCTTCGATGATGGACTCGTCAGGCACACCGGCTTCGCGCTCCAGACAGTCGATATTCTGGGTGAAGAGCTTGAGTAGCAACCCCTTCTCGTGTAGTAGGCGGATGAACGAATGAGTTACAGTTGGACGATATTTCCCGGGGTAGAGCTCGTGAGCAAGTGTGTAGAAGGGCGTAGGGTTTTCGCGGAAGTAGGAGATGTCGAAGACGGCTTCAGCATATGGGAGCTTGAGTCTAGCAAGGTTGGCGTAGAGACCAGTATTGGGAGAGCGGAAGTCGGGAATGCCTGCACTTGTCGAGATTCCTGCGCCCGTCATGACGACGATGCGCTTTGCGTGTCCATCGCGTATGTACTTGGCCAGACCATCGAGCGTGCGCGACACCAGCGTTTTGGAAGGAGCACCCTCGTCTACCGGGCTTGATCCGTCTTGACCCATTCTGGAACGTCCTTTGCCAACTTTTCCTCTGTCCTTGTTGGCCGCGCCTGCCTGGCGGTGCGGTTTGTTCTTGCGGCCTATTTTGAATGCGTCGCGGAACCAGCGATTAAATGGAATGGCCACTCTTATTCTGACAGTATTGGATAGATTGAGGGTGTCTTGGTTCGTTGATGAATGGTGTTGGCGCAAGGAAGAAATGTTCAAGAAAGTCGCAGGCCGAATGAGGTTGGACCCTGAAAACGTGACTCATGTGCGATTGCACTCTTCCGTCATCGTGACTCGCTACTCGGCGACCATCTCCGGTGAGAAGGTGCGACCACAACGACTTTATCAAGCTGCAGGAACAATTTCAAAGTTGTGCAACTGGTGAGTGTGAATTACCTCACCTGATTGTTTCCGTCCATCGGACCTCTCGGATCACGGAAGAGACGCATCCGAGCTGATATCCAAGTTTCACCACCCAGCCCTGAGTCCTGACCAAGACAGCGCAATGGCCAAAGGGTCCGCTGCAGAATAATTAAAAACATCTCAAGACCTGTCTCTGCTATCGCGTAGGTTCTTCTGTAACTCTGCTTGAGATGCCAACGTCTGATCATGACAGAAGATCACACCTGGAACAAACTCCGCCACGGCTTCCTGACATTCAACAGCATGCCTCCTCGCGTGCATGTTCTGTCCGACGATACAGAATTTGACAGAGTCTTTCTCAAGCATTTGAGACAAGAAGGCTTTGATGTGAACTATCTCCCGTTCACAGGAGATGTCAAAGGCTTCAAGTGGACGATTCAACATCTGGCAGATGATCTTGAGCTCGGTCAAAGTTATGCTATCATAGGTATGTATACAGCACGTCAAATATACTTTCATCTCCTACTCCGAGCATGATCCTCGACTTTGAAGCTTCTGCTAACGATACAATGTAAAGCCTTTGGCGAAGCAGCAACACACCTCCTCAGCATTGCGCAAAAGCCGCTCCCCCATTGCATTGCTTTGATTGTTTACTATCCTACTACTCTCCCCTCGCTCAACCACAAATACCCCGTTCATCTTTCCCTGCTCTGCCATCTCGCTTCCAACCAACCTTTCGGTGCTTCGACCTTCAAATCTTACGTCTACCCAGATACATATCCTGGATTTGCTGAAAGAGATTTAGAGGAGTATGATAGGGTGGCTGCGGGCTTGAGTTGGGGCAGAACAGTTGGGTGTTTGAGAAAGGGCTTCGGGGTTGAAGTTGATTTGGAAGGAGTTGTTGAGGAGTATAACAAATGTAAGTCTGCACTTCTGAGACTTGTGCTAACTTGGAGAAAACAAAACACTAACAAAAATTGGGTGACAGGTAAATTTGAAGACAAGGACGCTAGAGGGACAATGTCTGTGTTGAGTCAGGTACCGTACGTGAACCACGTGCCTACTGCAACTGGCGGCATTGGACGAGATGATCTTGATCACTTCTACCGTCAGGTATTTCTGCCTGGCAATCCTCCAAGTTTGAAAGTTCGTCTACTCAGTCGCACTATCGGTGTTGATAAAGTGGTCGATGAGATGATGGTTTCTTTCAGACACACACAAGTAATATCCTGGTAAGTCCGAACTCTACATCATTAAATGATAGGTAAGGCTCATGGTAGCTGTATAGGATATTGCCAGGGGTGCCTCCAACGAACAGGTCAGTCCAGATACCTGTGGTGTCCATCGTGAGCATTCGTGGTGGCAAGCTCTGGCATGAACAGCTGTATTGGGATCAAGCAAGCGTGTTGGTTCAGATTGGGCTACTCGATCCGAAACTCGTACCAGGCGACATGAAGAAGCAGGGTCTTGAAAGGCTTCCTGTGATTGGCAAAGAGGCAGCCGAAAAGGTTCTGGACGAAGGCAGCCACCCGAGTAACGAGCTCATCTCCTCATGGGCGGAGGAATAGCCGTAGATCAGACCCGCATGCAGAGGCAGATACCCATTTGGTTATCGAAGATTTCAACTCAACCAACAAACTTGCAAGTGGGCATGCGGTAATTGTCCAGGGCCCAGTAGCGGCGGCGCACGCCCTCCCACTCGCCCTGTTCATCAAGGTCGGGAATGTGAATGTCTTCAAACTCGGTATCCATACCGGCATCGAAAAGGTCCATCTCGACAACTCTAGTGTAGACATCGTAGCAGACTTGTCTGTCGGCACCGAGACCGTTGAAAAACCCGAAGCGACCTTCAGGGTCCATCAGGCCAATGACATGTTCGCTGAAGAACTCCTTCAAAGCCTTGTACTCTTCGGCAAAGGTATCAAAGTAGATGCCATCAAAGATGACATTCTGCTCGACGAGTTTGGGAACGACGTCTTGCCATCTTCCTTCGTGAACTGTGACACCAGGCTTCTCGTACCAGCCATCCTTGCGCATGCGAGCGAGGACATCAGGGTGGGCCTCGATGATGTGGTGGGCAGAAACATGCTTGGATTGGAAGATGCCATCGATGATACCCATACCGTGACCAACGTTGAGCACACGAAGACCAGACTTGGGACACAGGCGATCGACAGTCTTTTGCATGATGTCAGTCTCCCAGGACATCATGACACCGTTTTTGTCGGCGTCCAGCAGTCTGTCACCCTTGAAAGTGAGATCCGAGGCGAGGTAGTCTTCACTGTTGACATCGACCTTGGTCTCTTGTCCGTTCTCATCAATCTGGACCAGATCCGGAACGCTGTCAGCACCGGGTACAGTGCCGTCAGGACCGACAAGTTCAGGGACAGGCTCCTCAACCTCGACCATTGAGGCTTGTAGAGAATCGCCATTCTCGTTCTCAATAATCTCGAAACCTTCAGCATCCAACTCTTCCTCTTCGCTGTCGTCCTCGTACTCTGCGAGCATCTCGAAACCATCGAGACGGCTCAAAAGGAGCTCGGCACGAACACCAGCCTCGACCATGGCCTCGTAGCACTTCTTCAGACCCAAGCGGTGGGCAAGACATCCTGGGGTCTCGTTGTTGTCATCCAGGTCATTCCAGATAGCACCATTCTCAAGCAAGAGCTTGACGGTTCTGAGAGCTTCCTCTTCCTCCAGAGCGGTGGTGTTGAGAGTTGCGGCTTCGTCAACGTCCATGTCTTTCTTGTCCTGGGCGGTCTCGTCGTCAGGCTCGCAGGCGGCGATGGCAGCGTGCAGAGGGGTCATTCCAGTATCGGAGTCGACGACGTTCGCGGAGCCAGTAGGTGTGCGCAAGAGTCGGCGCAGAGAATCGAGATCATGGTTGGTGGCAGCGAGGAGGATCTCCTGCTCTGTAGTATCGGTATCAATCTCCATGGGTTGGTCGTCAGCCATGTTGGAAATGTTTTGGTTATTTCTCGAAAAGAGATCGATAGCTCTGCCTTCTCGACTTCAAGCTTGTGATTTTTCCGCTCTAACAAAAAGAAAAAAGCGGAGAAGCTGCGGGGAGTTTTGGACCCTGAATGCTTTCACTGACGCTCTTCACGAAAACAACCACAACTCTGGAGTACACATTTGTCCTCCCGATCGATGAGAAATTGCAGACGAGAACTACTCAAGGGTTCTGTCTGTAGATTTGGATAAACCTCTGATCAGAATCGCTCATGAATTGCGGTAGTCATCTCCTCATTGAAAACTGAGGAAGGAACCTCTCGGCGTCTTCATTTCTGATTGGCCAGGTTTTGTTCACGGCATAGCAAGGTACCTTCTGTCTCGGATGCACAAGAATTGTTTCCGAGTTACAAACAATGATTGCACACATATCGAAAGCCTCTAACACATCCATGAGCACGTAGCAATGAGATATCCGGCTGCTCAAGTGGCCGAGGCCCGGCAACAAGTCCTGCTTCCAAAAGCTGCATCATTCGAGCGGCTGCGTCATAGCATTTTGCAGCTCCTGATCGTCAGCCAAGTAGCGAAAAGCAGCAACATTTCCGAAAGCCTTGACAAACATGAAGAAATCCCTACGTGTCCACCGTATCCCGTAATTAGCTGATAGCCTGACACAGGTAGTGCTGTGGACTGCCTTGTTTTGCTGTCAAGTTGATCACGCTGGACCATGCGCTGCCATCTCTCTATTCACTAACCTAGCTTCCTCCATCTCACACCAGTCGCATCTTCACCATCAAAATCAGCCATCAATACATTCATCTCACCTACGTACATTGACGCCGACTCTCCATCAACATGGACGGACTGGCACGAGAAAGCCGTCGTCCTGGTCTGAAGACAAGCGACACTCTCGATGCCCAGGAACTGGTGGGCAGCATTGCAAAAGACGGAACTGCTTCTCTAGAGCCACGTCACCGTCAGACCACCTACATCCAGAACGCAGACTTCTCCAATAGCTCATCCTCTACCTCGCTGACGTCCGACGAAGACATCGAAGACTACGACAAGATTAAGTTGGATCCGGACACGATCGTTGATGGCAGTAGCGGCGGTCCTTTGGGCAACGCTCAATCCGTCGCAGACCCAAACACAGACCAAGATCTTTCCTTGAAGCCTTCTTCATCCGGTGTTGGCCATATTCGAAGGAATCCCGACTCCCATGACCGTCAACTATCACCAGACTCTCGTCGCAAGAGTATCCAAATCCGTCTGGAAAAGACTGATCGCAAAGGTCACTACATCCTCACAGCCGATGACCCCGACATCCGTGATATCCTTAGAAAGGGTATGGAAAGAGAAGAGGCTTCACAAGACCCGTCCAAGCGAGCGAGAAGCCTGCGCGACCTTGTCTTCACCCGCCAGTTCACCACCTTCGACCGACAAAACCCTCTCAGCGCAGAGTCTCCTTTCCACGGCTTCTTCACCTTGTTCTGGTTGGCCATGGTCCTCATGTTCCTCAAGGTCTCGGCATACAATTGGAAAGAGCATGGAAGCATATTCGGAGGAAATGAGGTCTTCAAGATCATGTTCGGCCATGATGTCTTGGTGCTCGGTTTCACTGATGCTGTCATGGTCTTCTCGTCTGCGCTAGGCTTCCTGCTACAAAAGGCCATTGTGAACAACTACATCAGCTGGAATCGATTAGGCTGGATTATTCAGAACATCTGGCAGACTTTCTTTCTGGGCTCTGTCGTCTGGTGGATGTTTTACCGCGAATGGCCATGGTCACACACAATTTTCATGGTTCTGCATACCATGGTCTTCCTCATGAAGCAGCATAGTTACTGCTTCTACAACGGCCACCTGTCAGTCGTGTACAGGCGACGCAACATGTTGAGAGAGAAGCTTCGCGACCTCCGTGAAACCAAACCCGTTGGCTCAGCACCAACCAGTCCTCAGACCATCAGCCCTGCAGTCACGAGTGCCCTTGAACATGTCGACTCAGGTGACAAGAAGCGTCGTCCTGGAGCCCTTCGGACCGCGACCAACCTCGAGAACGAGACATCCGATGTAGCCAGTGTTGCAACAGCCATGCAGTCTGGTCAGCCTCTTACCTCGCAGCAGATGCAGGCTTTTCAGCGCATCATCGAAGAAGAGATCGCTACTCTGGACAGGGAGCTCAAGGGCAAGGCACAATCTGACGAAAAGGCATACCCGAACAATTTGACTTTCGCCAACTTTGCCGACTGGACCATCTTGCCTACGTTGGTGTATGAACTGGAGTATCCTCGACAGGAGCGCATCAACTGGTGGTATGTGCTGGAAAAGTCCATGGCAACATTCGGAACAATGTGTGTGATGCAGGTCATCTCTCAAGCATATATTTACCCTCCAGTGGCCGAAACTGTTCGCATGAAGGAGGCAGGTATGTCGCTGGAGGAGAGGGCAAAACAGATGCCATGGATCGTAAGCGACATGCTGTTCCCACTACTGTTGGAACAGCTTCTGTCGTGGTATGTGATTTGGGTAAGTCATGACAGTGAATATCGACATGGTATAAACAGCAAACTGACTGCAACCTAGGAATGCGTGCTCAATGTTCTTGCCGAACTTACATGCTTTGCGGACCGAGGCTTCTACGGCGACTGGTGGAACAGTGTTTCCTGGGACCAATACGCCAGAGATTGGAACAGACCAGTTCACAATTTCCTGTTGAGGCATGTTTACCACTCTTCGATCTCGGCCTTTCACCTGTCGAAAGGCACAGCAACGTTCGTGACGTTCTTGCTGTCAGCTTTGGTGCATGAGCTGGTCATGGCGTGCCTGTTCAAGAAGGTGCGCGGCTATCTGTTTACTATGCAGTTGTTGCAAATGCCTCTAGTAATGCTCAGCCGGACCAAGCTACTCAAAGGTCGAGATCTGCTGGGAAACGTGGTGTTCTGGATCGGGTTGTTCGTGGGGCCGAGTGTACTCACCAGCTTCTACCTTTTGATTTAGTCGCGAAGACATAGAGACGCAGGTCTAGTCTATATAGATGAGAAGAACAATCATTACACCAGAATTTGATATCCCAAACTAAGTCTCGTGGCTTCGGGCATGAAGGAGTGGCGGTGCAATTGAGCCCGAGGTGACGAGCTTCCGCTGGGCGGCAAAGTGGAAGCTCACCTGCGCACCAAGGCGTCGACGTCACAAACCGCGTGTCTTTCTCCAAGTGCTGCCTCCAGATTCTTTGCACGGTAGTATTGATCGAGGCTGAGTATTTTATCGATATATCAATACGTGAATACGTCGAATACGTCAAACACTAGACCGTTGGACAGACATCCGTGGAAACATTAGGCATCCGGATTCCGCTTGGCTACATTAGCAATCTCCACCCGCCATCTTCGCGTTTAGCTACTCTCACACCCCACCACCGCAACCATGAACGTGATCAAGCTGCAGAGGTATGGCCTTGAAGGCAGTGGATGTGCGCGATTGAAAGCCAGGCATTAATACATGACAGGAAATACCCTCAATTCGACCAGAATGAGATCTTCCAACTCTCCAATGCCTTCCAGAACATGGATGTCGACGACAAGGGCTACATAGATGAAGCCACCGTCATCAAGGCCACTCAGAACTCGGAGCGTCAACCCTACGATGTTGTGCGACAGGCACTCAAGGAGGTCGAGCTGGACAGTTCGCGCCGAGTCGAGTTGGACGACTACGTTGATGTATACCAGCCCCACCGCCCACCTTGGTCAGGACACGACTAACAAGAGCGCAGTTGATCTCGAAGCTCCGCACATCGTCACAAGCCCAACAGCGCATGGCCACCGGGCCCACTCGTTCGCGCGGTCTCAGCAACGCCCAACTTCAGGGCCAACAGCCCACATCCGGACACGCCTCCAAGGGTAGTGTCGGCGGCGGCGCAAGTGTCGGAGGTGGTCGTATCCACGTCGGAGGTGCCACGTCTAGTTCACAACACACCATCAACGAGGATGAGCGCGAAGAATTCACCCGTCACATCAATGCCGTCCTTGCCGGAGATGCCGACATTGGCAACAAGCTGCCTTTCCCCACCGATACCTTTGAGATGTTCGACGAGTGCAAGGACGGTCTCGTACTGGCCAAGCTCATCAACGACAGCGTACCCGACACGATCGATGAGCGTGTCTTGAACAGAGTCGGCAAGAAGATCAAGACACTCAACGCCTTCCACATGACTGAGAACAACAACATCGTCATTGAGTCGGCAAAGGGTATTGGCTGTTCGGTTGTCAATATTGGCTCTGGCGACATCATCGAGGTCAAGGAGCACTTGATTCTTGGTCTGATCTGGCAGATTATCCGCAGAGGTCTTCTCGGCAAGATCGATATCAGACTCCACCCTGAGTTGTACAGACTGCTGGAAGATGATGAGACTTTGGAGCAGTTCCTGCGCCTTCCCGCTGAGCAGATCCTGTTGCGCTGGTTCAACTACCACTTGAAGAATGCCAAGTGGCACAGAACGTGAGTATCCCAATCTTGGAGAAAAGACGTCTTCTAACAGTGTACAGCGTGTCCAACTTCTCGAGCGACGTCAAGGATGGCGAGAACTACACTGTTCTCCTCAACCAGCTCAAGCCCGAAATCTGCTCCCGCTCTCCCCTTCAAACCAGTGATCTGATGCAACGCGCCGAACAAGTCCTCGACAACGCCGACAAGCTTGACTGCCGCAAGTTCCTGACTCCCAAATCACTCGTCGCCGGCAACCCCAAGCTCAACCTTGCTTTCGTCGCTAACCTGTTCAACACCCACCCCGGTCTCGACCCTATCACTGAAGAAGAGAAGGCTGATATTGAAGACTTTGACGCTGAGGGTGAGCGCGAGGCTCGCGTCTTTACTCTCTGGCTCAACAGTCTGGACGTTCAACCTACCGTTGTTTCCTTCTTCGACGACCTCCGCGACGGTACCATTCTTCTGCAAGCATACGACAAGGTCATTCCTGGCTCGGTACAATGGCGCCACTGCAACAAGCGTCCCGCCAACGGCAACGAGCTCATGCGCTTCAAGGCCGTCGAAAACACAAACTATGCCGTCGAAATCGGCAAGCAGAACCGCTTCTCGCTTGTTGGTATCCAAGGTGCCGATATTACCGACGGTCAACGCACTCTCACCCTCGGCATGGTCTGGCAACTCATGCGCAAGGACATTTTCAACACCCTCGGAGCTCTTGCTCAACGTATGGGCAAGCGCGAGCTCAGCGACGCCGACATGGTCTCCTGGGCCAACGGCATGTCCAAGAAGGGCGGCAAGACCTCGGCCATCCGCAGTTTCAAGGACAACTCTTTGGGTAACGGCATTTTCCTGCTCGATGTGCTCAACGGTATGAAGTCCAGCTATGTCGATTATGACATGGTTGCCTCTGGCCGCAACGACGATGAAGCCTACGCCAACGCCAAGCTTGCTATTTCCATCGCCAGAAAGATGGGAGCGACCATCTGGCTTGTGCCTGAGGATATCTGCAATGTTCGCAGCAGACTTATTACTACTTTCATCGGTAGTCTTATGGCTACTGCTGAGAAGATGGGTGTGTAGGAGGGGCGAAAAAGATGCCGATACCGCGCACTTGTTGATTATTTCTAATGTCCTTACACTCCCCCTCGCCCACCACAAATTATCCTCCCCTGCTTGTTTTATATCCACAATTCCCAATGACAGAAAGTTTTGAATTTCCCTTCTCTTTAATCCCATGTCATTTCCTCTGTGACGAACGATCGTGGGTAAGTCATTGGTATAGTCATAGTCGAATACTGCGCAGCTGAGTCCTTTTGAGATGTGAGACATCCCTACCCTCGTGCTAACCACGCAGTACTGGCGATGAGTCTTCGGTCGTCACTTTGCTCTGCTGCCTTGACTTATCATAACTTGTCTCTTCTTTTTTTTTTCTCCCCTTTCATCTTTTACTCATCTCCGCAAATCCACAAACTTGCACACTTTTCTTATTCCTTTTTCCAACGAATTTCTCATCGAAAAGATCCGCAGGGAAAAAAAGATAATGTTCACAACACGCCTTGTCGTCAAAGCCATTTGGGCATCAAGATTTGCCGTCAACAATGCAACGCTTGCTCAACGCCGCAGTGTACATGATATCAATTTACCTCATCATGAAGATCACGTCGCCGCTGCTTCCGAATACACACGACATCTTCAACACCTCCTCGCAATCAAAGAATCAGAAATCAAAGAAAAAGATACCATCATCTCTACTCTGCGGGCTCAGAAAATAGAACAAAACCAACAAACCCGCACCCAAACAACCACCAAGCCCACTGAAAATAACGATAACCCCAACAACGCCCAAAACAACACTACCATCTGGACAGGAGGAATGACAGATACAGATGGTTTCGGAGCTGGATGGAGAGGGAAAGGTTGGGATAAACCAGTAAAAAGGAAGGAAGGTAGGATGAGGGAATTGATGAGGGGGATGACTGGGGAGGAGAGGGAGAGGTATGATCATCTTTAGGGATTGTTGGTTTGGTTTGGGATAGGACAATGGGGTTGGAAAGTGGATAGGGAGGTGGATGGGGGAGGTGGAAGTTGAGATCAACAAAGACGTTTTCCGCCATCAAAGTTGCAGAAATCTGATTTCTTGAAATTAGATGTTGCTGTGAGGGTTGATGGGTTTTTCTCGGATTAGAAGAGGTAGTAAGTAGTGATGGCCGTTGATCTAGTAAGAACGCAAGAACCTTTATCTAGAAGCTGCGACGAACGAGTGTCGTTATGTTACCATTATCTCATTAATCAGACAGCTCGAACATGAGTCGCGCGGACGGAGCACGGGCCACAAGTGGACGAAATCGCGAGAACTCGTTCGAGCGTCTGAGAGTTCAATGACACTCTTTTGGTGGTAAACCCTTTCGAAAAACCACGACAACAACACGATTAGTCGCTAATAATCATGGCGATAATTTTATAGGTAGGCGCACAGTTTGAAGAGGTCAGTCTGATTTTTTTTCTTAAATTTTAGCGACTTTTGGGTGAGTAAAAACTGTTTTAAGCTGTTTTCAGCTATTTTCGAAAATCTGACACGTCAGATTGCGCCCGAAGCATCCCGGGCGCATAACGCCGAATTCGACTACGGATTCGACTACCTTACTATTTAATTAACAACAATTCAACAACAGCAGCTATTTAGCTAAGATCCATAAGTCTAAGTAAGTGCTCTATCCTCTTTCTACACATCGAAAAAAAAGTCGAAAAAGTTATCTAGTTGCGCTACAATCTTCTATTGTTCTTTTTCAAAATCTCCTTTACTTTCTACTTATTTCTTACTACCCTTACACTATTTACTTATTTTAATAGCTATATGGGCCTTAGACGTACTATATCTAGGCCCCTAGCTAATTTACATAGCATATATAGGTGTTGTAGTTAAGAGCTTGTTCGGTTCGGCGATGTCGTCTATTTTGAAACCTTAGATTATTGCTCTAGCTCGTGCTCTCTAGTCGTAACGGTTAGCGTCGCTTTTATCTTCTAAATAAACTATGCCTTGTTTGGTTCGCTATATAAGCTCGATTATAATCCTCGTAAGCGTACTAAAGCCTTAAGGTCCGAGTTCCTTAAGTTCTTTAAGCTCTAAGCACTCTTATTAATGGCTCCGGATCGACGACATTATATCGCTGTTGCCGTAGCAGCTACTGCTACGTAGTATGCTAAACGAGGCGTACCTTCTAGTATTCGGACGATATATACATCTACGTATCGTAGCGAGGAACTAACTACTAAACTACGCCGACCTAGGTTAGATAAGCGTCTCTTTAACTTTACGCGCCTTCGCCGACATACCTTTAAGTCGCTCTTAGAGTAGCTAGAGACTAAGGCCGATCCTCCTCTAAGGGGTAGCCACTTTATATTAGCTACCTAAAAGCTTATTATCTTCCTCTACATCTACGCGCATAACGTTAGATTTCGAGTAGTTTAAGAGAACTTCTAGCACTCGCGGGACACGGTATCGAATGTCTTCTATTAAGTCCTTAACTCTATATAGTTAGTCTACCGATCGTACGTCGTCCTACCTAGCGAAGAGGTACCTAAAAGGATCCTAGAAAATAGTAAGTTCTCGCCCTACTTTAATAACTATGTCGGTACTCTAGATAGGTCCTATGTCGTTACGTATATCGAGGGTAAATAGGCACTATAGAGAAATAGGAAAGGGTTCCTATTGTAGAATGTTTTAGTAGTCTATAACTTCGATAGGAACTTTATATACGTTCTAGCAGGGTAGGAGGGGTCTACTTACGATAGCCGAGTTCTAAAGTTAGTAAGGACGAAGGACTTTAAATACCTAGGTAGTAGGCGATATTACCTCGTAGATGCTAGATATATTAACTCTAACATAACTTTAACACCGTACCGATTAACTCGCTACTATCTACGCGAGTAGATTAGTACTACGAAGAGGCCTAAGACAAAGGAGGAGCTATATAACCTACGTTACTCGTAGTTACGTAATGTTATCGAGAGGACGTTTAGGGTCTTTAAGAATAGATTTAAGATTACCTCGACGGCGACTAAGTTCTCTATACGCACGCAGGTAAGGCTAATATATGCGTTAGTAGGTCTCTATAGACCTAGCAGTGGTATAGGAAATCCCATTAGGATTTAGGGCGGTATAGGGAAAATGACGTTATTTGTCCTATACTATACCACCCTAAACATAAGTAGGTCTAGTCCTATACCACCCTAAATGAGTAGGACTCCCTAATAGATTTAGTTAGGACTAACTAAATATCTTACGGTAGAGCGACTATATAACTATGTTAACGCTATAAAGTGAAGCTAAGTTACGCTAAGCAACGCTAGTGTCTATACGCCTACATCTTCCGAAAATAATTAAAGAAATCCCTATTAACAACTTTTCCCCTACTACTATAACACCTTTATGCGCTACTACTACGCGCTACTACTACTATAGCACTAAAGACTCCTAATAACGGTAAGCGTAAGGCTAACGACACCTACTCGACTAACCCTAACACTACGAAGGAGATAACGCGCCGGCTAAACCGCTTAAATAAGCAAAAGCTTTTCGAGAATAAGAAGAAGGCGCAGATAGAGAAAGTAAGGCATATAAAGGTTAAAGTAAAGAAAGAACCTAGCTTCGACGTAAAGTCGACCGTAGAATAACAGGTCTTACTAGACAAGTGCCTAGAAGATGTTAAGAAACAGCTATAAGAACATATACCGCTATATCGTAGTAGTAGCGTAGTAGTAGCTAATTCTAACTATAGGGGAGACGATTAGTACGAGAACAACGCCCCTAGTAGTAAGAAGACTAACTAGCATAGTCTAGTTACTATGTAGGAGCTTACTGCTAGTATAGAGGTCCCTAGTACACCCCCTACGCCTACTCCTACCTACCCTCGGGCTTCCCTACCTTCCCGCCTAGCCGCAACTAGTAAGACGGCTATTCCTTTCTAAAAGGAAGATGTAGACATGCTAGACGCTACAACTAGTGATAATGTATGTATAGCAGCTACTACTACGCTACTACTACACTACTACTACGATATACTAACTAATTTTATAGGAAGAGTAGGAGGATAACGCTAACGACGACGATAACAGCTACGGCGAAGATACTAGTATTAATTTAGACACTATATCTACCGTGTCTAGCTATATAATTGCCTACATAAAAATAGCTAAGGCCCTTATTCGCGCTAGTGCGCTCTATAACCGCGTCGTCTAGGTTATAGAGGCTACTATAGAGTCCCTCTTTGTTAAGCTAGAAATTGTTAATAACCGTGCCTATTTTGAAGGTTACGATAATAGTAGCCGACTAGTTAGCGCCTAGTTAATTAATATCGCCGTTACTCTCCTCCTAGATAGCGAGGAGAAGGAGGTCCTTTAGGTAAGTCCACTATAGTAGTAGCGTAGTAGTAGCGTAGTAGTAGCTAACT